CTGAGCAATTAAGTCTATACCAAATTGTGAAATTCAAGTCCCGAGGGTCAAGATTTCAGCCCCGGGATTGACTAAGTTGGTACTGAAAAATAATCCCTAAAAAATGAAATTCGTTTGCTCTGAGTACACCCCCCAGATTAGGGTTGTGTTGGTCACAGATTATCTTGAAAAGTCATATACTTAAATACTTTTGAGAATTTATTTTAGACCTGGACATATGAGTGTATACAAAATAGCAGTAAGCTATGAGTCCTTAACTAAAAGCCTTTTGAGGAGCAATATTAAGCCTTTGGAAAAAGCGTTATTAAACCTTTTGTTAAGGCGTTATAATGCCTTTCCATTTCGCATTATAGCATCTTTTGAAAAAGCTTAATTAATAACGCCCTTTTTAAAAAGGGTAATATCGCCTTTTGAAAAGGCGTCATAACGCCTCTTGATATGGCGTAATATCGTTTTTTAATAGGGGGAAAAATGCCTTTTGAAAAGTCGTAATAACGCTTTTTTGAAAGGTTTAATAACGCCTTTTTGAAATGCGTAATGCTGCTTTTTTTAAAGGCGTAATAATTCCTTTTGTAAAGGCATAAAAACGCTTTTTCTGAAAGGCGTAATTACGCCCTTTGACGCATTATTACGCCTTTTTTCAAGTTTACGCCTTATAACGCTTTTTCACTTCGCGTTCTTCCGCCTTAAAATTTTCCGCGTTATTAATCCATCCTAATAGGCTTTCGCATATTTTATCTTGAATTGCCTAATTTTTTATCATTAGTGGAGGAGACTAAGAACCCACTCAAAATCCCACTGAAATCGGACTAAAAAAACTGACAAGCAACAATAAATTAGTAAAAATAAAATGAAATAAATCCAGCCCCCCCCCCCCCCCCACACACACACAGATACACGCATGTATGCACATGATTCATCTTATAAACTAACGAGAGCTGGGGTTCAGGATCATTTTCCGGTTACTTTATTTTATAAATTTATTAATAACTCGGGGGGGGGGGGGGAGGGGTCTAGATTTGTGGAAGACATATATTCCGCTATAGTAAACGTTTTATCACTAGTGGTTATGATAGTGCAATTAAATTATCATTAGGGAAGTCATATCCACTGACAGAAAATGTCATAATACGTGGATTTTTTAAATATCAATTTAAGATTGCTACAATGCTTCAGAAGTTTGAAATAACTTTCAGCTGATTGCACACAACGAAAAACGTCAAGTAGATGCTGTATGTTTGAATAGCATGCCTTCCATTTACTCTACTTGCAATTCTTTATATTTTGAAACAGGAAAATGGTAAACAGACGGAAAGAGGAAGTGATGTTTAAGTTGAGTACTTATAAAACTTACAGACTCCTGCAGTTACACAAGCTACTCATTATAATTTGTGTAATATGATCTTGTTTAAAATATCGTCCTTTGTTGGCCTCCTTAGATCAAACTTCTACATCTACAAACACACTGTTCCTGTGGATTCATTAAATTGTAAACATTGAATATTTTATATACATACATTAATTACTTTATATATTTTGAAACTAACAATGACATATTTATTTCATTCCTAAAGTACATGTATTAACAAAGGAACATTGGGTCTTAAGACGATCCTTTTGGGGACCCAAATGTGTCCAAAATAATAATAAAACATGATAAAGTTTTGACTACTTTTTTCTAAAACAGAAAATGAAAAGATTACAATGATTTCTTTGCCTTTCCCTCCCTCTCCTTTACACTCTTTCATTGCATTATTCCACCCCCTTCTCTGTTTTCCCTGCATTATATACCCCTCCCTTCCTTTTACATTCTTTATGTTTTCCCTGCATTGTACCCCTCCCTTTGCTTAATGCACTTTCCTGCCATACCTTTATTTCCTTCTCTTTAAATTCAGCATTGTGTATTTGTTTGTTTGAAAATCAAAAGTCCTTATACGTTTATTTTCTTTGAGTTGGAGAGGACGATCCTATTAATTATGTTCAATAAAATACCGAGTATATTTATATTAGTCATGGTGCTCCTTTAACTCTGCCCAATTCTAAGTCATATTTTATAATCCTTTATTTGATTAAATCACAATTATACATTTTTCAAACAAAAAACACTTTAAAATCAGAAATTTTCGTGGGGGTTTAATTTTCGTTGTTTTCGTGCACAGGCACCCGACGTTACTTATTTTTCTTTTAATAAAAAAATATACCCCCTACCTAATAATTCACTAGGTAGGGTAGGGAGTGCAATTTTTTTTATTACAAGAAAAGTAAGCAATCTGATTAAAATCAGATCCTTTGATCCGCTCACATAGATCGCTACACAAGGTGTATTTGAGCGGATCAAAGGATTTGATTTTAGTCAGATTGAAAAAGTAAGTAACGTCAGGTGCCTATGTTTTAATGGTAAGAAGAGACCCACGAATTCATGTCCCCAACGAAATATAAAATTTCAAATCAATATCAACTTAGCGCTTCTTCATCTCCCTAATCAAATCCCCACGAACGAATATTTTTCCCTTAACCCACAAAAATGCCCCCTACGAAGATACATGATTTTACAGTATGGTATGGCATGACGCTTGAAATATCGAGTATTTTGTACGTTTCTCGACGATCGTTGCTGATTTTCTAACACCAACTCAACTGATAAAGGGAAAAAACAAGATATGTGTTTGTGAAACACTGATGCCCCCGTATGGCAGCATATGGCGAAGGTGAAAGTTTCTAAAATCCATGTCAAACTCCAGGTCCAGAGAAATAAAAAAAATGTTGGTACCCAAAGAAAGGTCCTGTCTCCAGGAATATACCTGTGAAATTTGAAAGCACTAGCAGCAACTGTTCAAAAGTTATGGCGAAGGTTAAAGGTTTTTAAAAGTAAGTAAAACGTAAAGGTCAAGGTCAAATGGGGCCCAAATGGAAGGTCTTGTCACAAGTGATACACATGTTCGTGAAATGTGAAAGCCCTAGAAACAAATGTTCACATGTTATGGCCAAGGTTAAAGTTTTTTTAAAGTAAAGTAAGGTAAATGCCAAAATTGTTGGTATCCAAACAAAAGTCTTGTCACAAGAAATGAATATGCGAAGTATGAAAGCCCTAGCATAAAATAAAAATGTTTACAAGTTATGGCCAAGGTTAAAGTAGGTCAAACTCCAAGGGCAAGGTCAAAGGGTCAAAGTTGTTGGTATCCAAAGGAAGGTATTGACACAAGGATTACAATTGTGAAGTATGAAAGCCCTAGCACCAACCATTCAAAAGTTATTGCCAAGGTTAAAGTTTTTCAAAAGTAGGTCAAACTCCTAGATCAGGTTCAAAGGGTTAAAGTGGTTGGTATTCAAAGAAAGGTCTTGTCACAAGAAATACACATGCTAAATATGAAAGCCCTAGCAACAACTGCTCAAAAATTATGACCAAGGTTAAAAGTTTCTCAAAAGTAAGTCAAACTCCAAGGTCAAAGGGCAAAGTTGTTCGTATCCAAAGGAAGGTCTTGTCACAAGGAATATACATGTGAAATATGAAAGCCCTAGCTCCCAACAGTTCAAAAGTTACGGCCAAGGTTAATGTTTCTTAAACGTAGGTCAAACTCTTAAGTTAAGGTCAAAAGGTCAAAGTTGTTAGTATCCAAAGAAAGGTCTTGCCACAAGAAATACACATGTGAAGTATGAAAGCCCTAGCTCCAACTGTTCAAAAGTTATGGCCAAAATTTAAGTTTTTTCAAAAGTAGGTCAAACTCCTAGGTCAAAGTCAAAGGGTCAAAGTTGTTGGTATCTAAAGGAAGGTCTTGTCATAAGAAATACATATGTGAAGTTTGAAAGCCCAAGCACCAACTGCTCAAAAGTTATGGCCAAGGTTAAAGTCTCATAAAATTTTGCAAAAGTGGGTCAAACTCCAAAGTCAAGGTCAAATATGATGGTACCCAAAGAAAGGTCTTGTCACAAGGAATACACACGTGAAATATGAAAGTCACTGCTCCAACCAATCAAAAGATATGGGCAAGGTTAAAGTGTTTGCGGACAAAAGACAGATGGACGGACAGGGACTACATACCCCCGAATCTTCGATACGGGGGCATAATAAAAATATTAATCTTGATAGAATGAACTTAATGAAAAAGGAAGAAAAAAACAAACTTAGAATTTGTCACTCAAAGGATAAATCACCGCTACATGACATAACACTTAAAGTGAAATATGAAGATAACGAACAGTAATCAAGCTCAAAAATCCATTGAAACAATGTAAATTGGGACCTCTAAAAACATAAGAGGTGGGATCAGGTGCCATGGAGGAGTAAGCATCCCCTGTCGACCGGTCACAACCGCGTGTGCTCCTTGTCATGATCGGGTAAACGGAAAAAATATTACACAATTCAGTTTGAAAATGAGGGCCTAACAATTTGTACTAAAAACATGTCAACATTCGACTTAACGATAGACTGTATTTGCTAACGAGGTCATTTTATCGACCATAGAATTTGTGAAATGTTAATTAACTTTAGAAGTTCTGTATATTTCACAAACCATGAAAAGTATCCTTCCTTCGTTATATTTACCATTAGCTCGGATGAAAAAACACGGTATGTCTCTTTTACCTTGCTGTATGAATGTATGAGGGGGCGTTGCAATCACGTTTTTATTGCGGATATATTTCTAGTTTTGAAAAGTGTTCAATCTGCATGTCAGATGTGTTTTAAACCAAGATGGTCCGATATATGATGAATATACGTAGACCTAAAAGTCATGTAAAGAAAATTGGTTGCATCTTTCGCAAATGTTCACTCAAACTAAGCCAAAAAAAATCATCCAATGATTTCATTTTTCATCCAATTAATTACACTTTTGCTGTTTGATCTTTTGATTTTATTTAGGGCATGTGTGACCCACATACCGTTTATTAATTTTCAATCTGAAGTTGAAAATGATTACAATGTCATGTAAACATTTTAAACTTTAGAATGAAAACCTAACCTAACCTAACCCTAAACGCCATATTTCAAAAAGCAAAAGTGATTTATATTTTCATTTCATTTAATGAAATAATCAAATGACAGTGTAGTAATACTAAATACACCGCGAGTATCTGCGTGAATGCATGTACAACAACAACCCGCAAATAAAAAGAATTACAAACTTTGACACAGTCTAATGATCATATCAATATCATATAAATTTATTATGCAAATCCACACTCAAGTAAAACAAAAGCAATACTATATTTGTAAAGGCTGGGTCGCATATAACAGCTGTGTAATGTATCAATAGTGATCAACAAACCTGTTATAAAATTTTAAAACGTTACTTCTAATCATAAAAGACAATGATTGATTTAGAAAACGCGCATTTTCATCCTTTATGGTAGCAATATACTTTTATCGACTGGGTTCGAGGGCAACATGCATTTTGGCGGACCCAAGAACCAAACCGGTTGCCTTGGGCCGAACAGATTTGTTCGAGGGGTCGACAAAACGCATTTTGCCCGTGAACGCAGTCAATAAATGTTTTGTTATACCTTTTATATATTTGTGTCTGACATACATGTATCTTGTGCTGGCTTCCATGATGTAAATTTCTTTTACCCGCACTGCGGTTAAACTTCACTGCGAACACAAACGAATGCAAATAATATTTAGGCTGATCCCACTCACGTGACGTAAGCAGTCCATTATCTCACCGACAGGTCCAATATATCTTACTCTGCGGTAAAACATAGATTTTTTTGACTGCTAAGTAAACAATGGAAATGTTATACATTTTAGGTATAGATTTATAAAGGAAACATATATTTAAAGGTATAACAATACAGAAACCCAGTACTGATGAAACTATATAATGAAAACAAGTTAGGAACATGTAGATAAAAATAGCAATGGTTGTAAACACACCATCCACAAATCACAACATAATAAATAGTAAACTCAGTAAAGAAGTTAAAACAACCAATAGAGCCACAAAAAAGCAAATCTCAGCATGGTGCATGTAAAATGAAGATTTTTTATTCTTATATTTGATCATAAAGAAAACAAAAAACAAAAAGGCCTTTGCAAAGCAAGCTACAATAAAACAAATACCAAAAATAGCATTTGGCACACGTTATAGGCTTTAACATTCACCAGAAACATGAAATTTACTACTGTCCGAAATCACAAGCTTTCATAGGTTTTAATTTTCGTTGTTTTCGTGGTATGAAGAGACCCACGAATTAATGTCCTCCACGAAATGCAAAATTTCAAATAGAAATCAAGTCTCAAAGAACCATTTTTTCCCTCAAACCACGAAAATTTGACCCCACGAAAATATGTGTACAGTATTTAACAGTATTTTGACGCATTTCAATTACTTGGACTCTGTATTGCTTTGCCGCACATTCTGCATGACTAATCGATCTTGGAGATACTGAAATGCCGCAAAAAAGTTTGTAAGAGAACAGTCATGTACGCCACCTAACATGCACTGGGGCTTGAAGTCAAGCACCATGTACATCTGAACGTATAGTCTTTTGAAATCCTCCTCATTGAGGTATGTTAGTAACACAATTAGAAGAGTAAGGAGTTCATCACAACAACCCATGAAATCCTGAAGTGAGGCTGCAGACTTCAGCGTCGACACCTGATCACCAACAAAACGATAGGTCTTGGTGATTAATTTCAGTTTACCCGTGACTGTGTTTTCCATCACCAAAGTGTGGATCATATCAAGGCCTGGTTGTAAAATATCGTACAAGCTTTGTCCATCCTCTTGAATTATTTGACTGGCGAGGCTATTTTGTTCATAACAAGGCGGTAATTTCGATGATTCTTCATAGGACGGCGGAGGCTCATGAAAGGCTATTGTATCGCTCTCATTGGGTGGTGAGGCGTCAAGCATGTTCTTGGGGTGGGTCAATTCTGAATCTTCAGGAAAAGGACTGGCATATTGTCCAGATTCCATACAGTTCTCCAATTTTGTGCCCTCTTTTTCGGCCCGCCGATAAAGTTCATCGATGGGCATTTTACCGATCGAGAACAGACTAAGATCAGAAGTTATGGAAGGTACACTAGTCAAGGAAATGTTCTCTATAGGTACTTTGACGTCCGTAATGTGAACAGGCGAAGATAGATCGTTAAGATGACGTATCCATGGTTCGTCAATCCCGAGTTCCTCAAAAGACATGTCCTTCACTTTGTTAAACACATTTATGCACATACTGCCGTATGTTTTCTCATATAATGATTCTAGGGGCTCTATGATTTTATGGCATAGATGATTCTGGTAACAAATAGATATCTTTCCGCTCGCGTTTGACTGACTTCCCCCGGCACGAGTATGTTCAGGGTTAATTTGTGACAGTAATTCCACCATATTGACTATATGTTCGTTAATTTCTCGTTTAACTGTGTCAATAAGAGACTGGTAGACTGTTTCTCTTCTTCTAGGAACGTCTTGAGTATCGTCTTCTGGAATACACATTGTTGAGCGCCCCCGTCTGGATCGTCGGTCTCTACATCGGTCCCCTGAAGCTAAAAGATCATCTTCAATGTGGACAAAACTAGAGGAAAGTACTGAAAGGTCTTCTTCTAAGGGATTGACTTGGTTTTCAAAAAGTTGACCCTCCTTCAAGGCCGAGATAATCTTGTCTTGTATTCCTGCACAGAATCTAACGTGTTTCTGTGTTACGTCATGTTTGGCGTCAGCCAATATGGCTGAAATTGTTTCCTCTAAGGTGTACCAGTCTTTTGGCTTGCAGCTCATGCCATTGATGTCGTTTTCAGTAGTGCCATCAGATTTCATCTGCCAACCTAACGTCTGACCATCAGTCTTTAATTCATCCAGCGCTAACTCAATAGCTTCTCGAACAGAAGAAATTTGGACTTTATGCAAACACAGTTTATGTATTTCTTCCTTCTCTGCCTGAAGTCGTTCATTGATCTCAATATAAACATTGTGGAAAACATTCAATGTTTCGAACTTTGACAATCGTTTGTTGGTTTTTTTGCGCCTAAGTATGGCTTCTTTGATGGTTTCCTTCACAACTTTGAGTTTTTCCCACTTTTCGTAGCATTTATCTCGCTCTTTTCTTACTTGTTCCAGTTCGGTGGAGGTACAGCTATCCCGCTTTAATTCATTCACTTTCTTCTGCATGACTTCCATTGTCTGCCACGTCTCCTCCACGTCTTTTCCAATTTGCTTTTCAAATGCTTGTATGAATTTGGGACTGCAAGACAGAATATGCTTTTCACTTGTAAAATCTTCTCTTTCTAACAAAGTCTCTCGTTGTTTAGCCATAGAAGATTCTGTCAACTGAACGGCTCTGTCCTTCTTAAGAATAATTTTGTCAATGTTCTGTAACTGGCTCTGAACCCGTGCAAGCGCATTCTTTAGGTTTGTAATGTCATCTGTTGTCAGTGATACAGAAGGCATAATATAACAATGGAGCAGTCTTAGCAATTCTGTTTTGAATTGTTCATCATTCAACTCTTTCTTTCTTATACTGATCAACAATTGTTTCGTTGCTTCAAATATTTCATGTGCTTTTGGATCCAATTCACTGTAATCGTAATCTTCGAAAACAGAGGTATCGAAGTGTTTTGCTCTGATGACGTTGTCCGGCTCGCACATTATAGATACGTCATCAATTTCCTCGCTGATTCGCTCGCCCGGTTTTATGCGTGCACGGCTCCATCGAACTTGTCGACGGTCACAGTCAATTAAGATGGCGTCTATAATAAGAGATTTGAACCAAATGGCGGGCTCCAGTTGGAGGTCATTGCCCACTTCTCCCACCACAGGTCGATATCCGTCCTTGAGAACAACACCAGAAATCAGTTCCAAAACGTCACCTTGTCGTAGATAAAGGTACATAGTGCTGACCTTAATCTGTAATGGGAATGAAATCAAATTAGCCCTGACTTTTCTATAAGTTCCTACGTGAAAAGAATCTTTGATTATTTTAAGGAATGAATTTAATAGCTACCCAAGTTATACTGTATAACCAGGGCTGGGACAGTTTATACTTTATAAACCGCGAAGTGATTTATAAAAAAGCGTAAACTGTTACAACCCAGATTATACCAGTATAACTTGGATAGCTATTAAATTCATTCCTTCTAATTCAATTTTCCATCAATAAGTTAGGAAAAAAACACAGTTTCTCCTTCAAAAATGCCTTCAAATTGTACATAATATTATTAAATGTAACGTCAAGCAGATTGATACGTTTTTGACATTAGTGTTTGTGACGTAGGCAACACAGGTTATAAGATATAAACTAGTTTTTTTTATACAATTAAATGACTCGTTACAACCAATATTAAATTATATAAATATACATTCAGTGTTTCTTGTGATGTCAAACAAGTGTTGACTTTTTTTTTGGTAAAACAGGTTGTAGAACCGCTTGATACAAGACACTTAAGCTGTTTCTAGGAACCTGGAGCATGGGGATGTGCCCATTCTGGTCAAAAATCTGCCACCGTAAGTCAAACACGTTAGAAGTATTTCACATTAAGCAATCTCTTTACTCAAGCACAAAACAAACAAACTTCCTCATCATAATACTTTGGGGAAGCACCCCCTCAATCTCATGTTGTAAGAAGAAATATAATTATGGAGAAGCCGGACATAGGGTACTTCTCTTAAATTTTCGCTTCACATGATTCAAACTATCATTAGGTGATTATGTAAACCAAGATCTGTTGTTTTAGTCGTCATATTCTACATAATTACCGATACGTTTTTAAGTAGAAACTGAAACTAATCTATACTTTTTATCTAATTTTATGCATAATAGATATGGGGAAACTCAAAACCTTTTTATTTTCCTTCTTAACATATAATTAAATAAAATGTAAAATGAAAACCTTCATATATAAAAAAAACCATATGTTGTCTGTTACCGATTTACTCAATTATTAAACCTTAATTATTTTGACATGGTACATTTTGACATTAAAAGTCAATTTTAAATTTACTGTTTTACTAAAATACATTTCAAATAGGGGTCTTCACCTGTTTGTCACTATGCAAGTTTCTTTTTGTTTGTTTGTTTAACATTAAATTTGAGGAACCTCCACTCCGTATTAAGGACAATGATTTAAACAAATCTGAAAATACTTACAGTATGTATTACATAGAATTTCACAATCTAAAGAATTGTAGTTTGGAATTTCTCTTTTTAATTCCTTCATAATACAATATAAAATATTACCACACTTTATTTTCCTTGTTTCTAGATTACATTTTCCACCTCTCCCACTTGGAAAGGAACCTGACCCAGTTTGATTACTCATTACCAAAGCTGCTGTGTGGAAAGTTTGGTTGAAATAGCGATGTCACTTGAGATACTCTTGTGGTGATCAATAAGGATTATTTGAACATATTTGGTTACTTTGTATTATACATGGTGCATGGTAAACAATACAAACATTCCATCTAAGCACAAGAAATGGTAATTAATTTTCATGCGAAAAAAAATTGATCCGTTTGTATTTCTTCGAGGGGAAGAAATCAACGTCAAAGGAAAAATAACACTGAAATTTTTCCATGATTTTTTTCTGCTCTTAATTTATTTTGAGTGATTGGATTGTTGAGCTTAAGGTTCATTGATACTCTGATGAAGATCATAAGTGTTAAAGCAAAAATTTTATATGATTGGGCAGAGGTTTTGTGAATTTAATTACTTTTTGTTATTTTCACATTTTTCATGGTACAACTACATTTTTTGTTTATAAAGACTGAGAAGGACTATTGAGAACCCTGTAGAAGCCCTATAAAAGTCTGTTCATCTATATGTCCATCTGTCTGCCTGTCCTTCAATTCCTTTGCTGTGACGCAATGACTCATTTTTCAGAAGAAAACACTTGCTGTGGCCTTCAACTCTACATTCAGATATATCGACGACATTTCATCAATTAACAATGGTTACTTTCATTCATATGTTGACTGGAAATATCCCAGTGAACAGGAAATAAACAACACCACAGAGTCTCATATTTGAATGTTTTACTGCATGACTATGGACAATAGGGGCTATCCCACAACTGTATGAAAAAAAAGAGATGATTTCAACCTTTCCATCATCTATTTTCTCAGTTTATGTAGTAATATTCCACTATCACATGCATGTGTGTTATACTGATATACAGAATTATGTATCTTAGTGTAGTCTACTTGTGCACCAAGTTATATTGAAATCAGACCAAAACTGTAGAAGGATTAAAATTTTTAAAAATTGTTTACAGACAGACAGACAGCTAGACAAACACAGAGACAATGGACACCTCATTATCACAAAAGTTCTTCTGGTCTCTGACCGGTAGAGCTTAAACTCTCCTTCTCTTGAGAAGTAGGGGCCCATTAAACATTAGCATCTTCATCATGTTCATGCATATATATTGTATAGACATAGCCGTAGGAACGGGGGGGGGGGGGCGGATGGGGGGACTCTGCCCCCCCAATAATTTTGTCGATATATAGAGTACTATAGAAAACATAGATACTACATTGTATATGTTTGTGCCCCCTCAATAAAAACGTCTGATGACCGTTTTTTTTTTGTTTGTCAAGGAATTTTTGGTAGTTGATAGTGCCCCCTCAACTGAAAATGTATGGCTGTGCCCCCCCCCCCCCCAACTAAAATTGCTTCCTATGGGCCTGATAGATTAAAGTTTGTTAGAATCTTGTTGGCTGCTGAGGCTGAAGTTTAAAATAGGGATAGATCTTCATGTTCTTGCATGCAAAGTAAGTCATCTGTAAAAATCCTCTTCTTAAAAATAACTACATGTAGGCCCCAGTCAGATTCATATGGAGTCATTGTCAAGCATGTGATATTGGGAGAGGGTACAAATAGGTTAAGCTTGCTTCCTGCCTCTCAATGGTTCATTCAATATGACAGATTTTAACTTGATAACTAATACCGCTAGCTATATTTCAATTAGCATACATGTATTCAATTCAATTTTATGGACATCATCATCTTGGCATACAGTCAAGATAACAAGTCAAATGATAAACAGCAGAAACTTTATCATAATATAATCCCTACAGAATGTAAGTCTTCATCATGTTCATGAAAATTATATATTATAAGGCTTTCTCTGTATTTTTTCTATAGCTATCTTACTCCCACTTCACCTGAAATTAATATATATATTGTATATAAAAAGCACTAAAAACCAACAACACTGTATATCCTAAGTGTCGGATCTACTAAGTAGATACAAGGTCATGGATGGAAATTTATATAAAGCACTAAAAATGACCAACGACACGAACAATAATAATTGTCAAATTTTCGGGACAACCTGTCCCTTCCTCAGGACAAAGAAAAAAGTTAAGGAGTCATAAAAACAAAGGAAATAGAGAAACAAAAACAACTAGCACTACTACTAAACTACAAACACTAAATATTTACAGTGTTACATGTTTAATTTGAAGTTTATAAACGGTTGTGAACAAAGAAATCCGGAGCTCTATGAATTTCGTCCAGTCTATCGGGTGTACTCTGGTGAGGTGCGATTTACATAATTGAACGAATTAATTATCGCTAATTAATTACGACCAAGCAGTAAATCGTACATTGTCTTATTCTCTCAAAATAGCATAACTATACATGATAAAAAGAAATTAAAGAAAGATAATATGGAAGGGCAATTTTAAAATATGAATTTGGATATATTATAAATTTTGAAATCTGATAAAAGAAATAAACAAAAATGTAAGCTGTAAATATTTGGGTAGGTTGTTCCAGAATTGCTAATGCAAATTAACGGTAAAGTTTACACTGTATAGAGAGAATAAACTTGTTTGTTATAGTCCTTTAGGTTCCTCAGGCGTCTGTATGCAGCCAATGGGGGCTCCTTGATGACCTCTGCCATTCGTTTATTTGAGTGGAGAATTGGCAGATTCTTTTGAAGGATACCGCTGAGGTTCTTAAGGATGGGATGGTATGTGGTTACCAGAGGGACCCTGCCGCTATTGTCTTTTTCCTTGTAGCATAATAGGTTTTGCCTGTCATGTCCTGCCATCTCATCAATAGCAGTTTGTATGGTGCAGGCATTGTAGCCTCTCTTGCATAAGTGGGACTTCAGGAGACCACTTTGTTCCTGATATAAGGCAGGGGATGAAAAGATGCGCCGGATTCTGGTGGCTAGCACCTTAGGCACACCCTTAAATGTGTGTGGGGGATGACAGCTAGTTGGCATAAGATACAGATGGGAATCTGTGGGTTTCGTCTGGAGACTGAACTCGATTTCACCATCAGTCAGGGTAGATGTACATGTAGTATCTAGGAATATGTTTTTCGAATTAGATACGTCTACTGTAAATTTGATAGACTGATGAAAGGTGTTGGCAAACGAAAAGAATGCCTCGAGGCTTTCGCGACATTCCACCCATGAAGTGGTGAAATTGAGTTCAGTCTCCACACGAAACCCACAGATTCCCATCTGTATCTTATGCCAACTAGCTGTCATCCCCCACACACATTTAAGGGTGTGCCTAAGGTAGTAAGACCTCAGCGGTATCCTTCAAAAGAACCTGCCAATTCTCCACTCAATGCAATGGCAGAGGTCTTCAAGGAGCCCCCCATTGGCTGCATACAGATGCCCGAGGAACCTAAAGGACATGGTAGTAAGAACCAGATTGGACAATCCATTACCTAACGGGGGCTTTAAAAGTTGCTCTGACAGAAGATGTCTTCTCTGTAAGCACAGCTCTGACACAGACAGCTTTAACGGCCCCGTTACAGGCCGCAGCTACAAAATACTAGGGAATTTGTCCTGTCAAACAGACAACTGCATTTATCTCATCAGTTGCAAAGTTTGCTCCAAACAGTATGTTGGTGAAACAGGAGATCTCCGCAGGAGAGTCAATAATCACCGTTCTACCATTAGGACCAAAAAACTCAATGAACCCATTGAGGAACATTTCAACCTTGAAGGTCACAAATGGGAGGACATGACAGTAGTGGTTATTGACCATAATCCAAGATGGACAGACACTCAGAGGAAATTCAAGGAAAAGTTCTGGATGCACAGGCTGAAGTTATTCCGCCCTAATGGTATTAACAAACTTAATGACTTCACCAGGATGAACGTGAACTAGACCCAATCCCAAATTATAACAAACAAGTTTATTCTCTCTATATAGTGTAAACTTTACCGTTAATTCGCATTAGCAATTCTGGAACAACCTACCCAAATATTTACAGCTTACATTTTTGTTTATTTCTTTTATCAGATTTCAAAATTTATAATATATCCAAATTCATATTTTAAAATTGCCCTTCCATATTATCTTTCTTTAATTTCTTTTTATCATGTATAGTTATGCTATTTTGAGAGAATAAGACAATGCATGATTTACTGCTAGGTCATAATTAATTAGCGATAATTAATTCGTTCAATTATGTAAATCGCACTCCACCAGAGTGGACGCAATTCATAGCGCTCCGGATTTCTTTGTTCACAACTGTTTATAAACTTCAAATTAAACATGTAACACTGTAAATATTTAGTGTTTGGTAGTTTAGTAGTAGTGCTAGTTGTTTTTGTTTCTCTATTTCCTTTGTTTTTATGACTTCTTAACTTTTTTATTTGTACTGAGGAAGGGACAGGTCATCCCGAAAATTTGACAATTATTATTGTTCGTGTCGTTGGTCATTTTTAGTGCTATATATATATATATATATATATATTATATTCTAGGTAACTACAGTAATTGTGACATCTATATTACACGTATATGTCACAGGTGGTGAAAAATCAAGTCTCAAGTAAAACCATGACTCGAACCCAGGACCTCTGGCGAACCGTGCCAGCGCACTAACCACTGAGATTATTGACTGACATTCACACACCTGTGAGGCATATTCCCAAGTAAAAGCGAGCGCAGTGAGGCAACGCCTGGGCGAAGAGAAAATTCGGACTAATGCACATTCATTCAATAGAATATTTTCCACAGTAACTCTGGACCCACAATGCATCGCTTATTAATGTATTCAATGTATAATGAAGGGATTTTGAAAAATTTTGAATCATTTTAAACTAGTTAAAAATGCATTGCTAGACAATGATAAATTAGTGAAATGAAATGAACGTAATTGTGATGAACGTAAAATGTGATGAACGTTAAACATTCTTCATGAAAATCAGCACTGTTCAGGCTTCGGTTTGGTAATGCAACTTAAATATGATGTCATGTGACGTCAGAGTGTAGAAGTACCAAATGTCATGTGCGGTTTGAAGAGATGGGTCTAAATACAGTTTACTGAACAGTAAACTGAAAACATGGAAAAGGTATCTCTGCTCCCCCTAATGGTTGCACCGTCAACATATTAGTGGGTTTTGTACGTTGGATGTCAAATGTCACAGGTAGTGGAAAATCAAGTCTCAACCGGGACTTGAACCCAGGGCCTCTGGTGTATCGTGCCAGCACTCTAACCAGTGAGCTATTGAGATCCAATATATTGGCCACTCACACACCTGTGAACATGGTGACATATAGAAGGAGGTTTGTTGGGCTGAACTGCATAGGCATTCCCCAGCTGTGTTGCTCTTTGGTTGAACTTCACAAGAGAATGAGCTTTGAAATAATTACAAAGGAATGTCAGAGGAAAGCATCACTCATACTGATGTTAAAAGTATCCTTCCCGGACAGTGACAAGGATTTTAGGCATGTTGGGGGATTTTTTTTTTTAATCTGTTAATTATTCGTGACAAAGGGTGATTGACATTTACTTTCGTTTTTAATACTTTGCTTGAGATAAGTATGCACAATATTTAGTATCCCTTAAAGAAATTTGAAAAAAAAGTACATATATATTTACCTTTATCAGTGTATTTCAAAGTCACATATTAACTCCCACTGTTTTTACGCACTGCACAGGCACACAGTTTCATTCAATATTACTTTGCCCTGACATCCATGTGAAGGGTTACATGTTACATATAAATAAATAATGTTTGACATCATCCAATAATGACTAATCGAACTAGATGCACAATACATTGCTTAAAACAGTCAAGTGAAGTGTCACAATGATAATAACAGATTTTTTTTATGTTCCGGGTGTAAAAAGTTGAGTCCGATTTATTTTCTTCCACAAGAATGCCGAGCTCGAGAATATTTATTTTTCGCATGCATTTCTGTCGGGATCGGAATCAGGAATTTATACCAAATACTGAAATAGTCTGTCACTGCTTGCATCGTTTCCAAATTAATCAAAGCTTTAAAGTAAGTATTATCATGAAATTGTTAATGTTTTAATTGTGATCACTCTACGATTTTGATTTTATATTTATATGTTATTTTATATATTTATATTCAGCAAGAAGTAGCTTCATATAAAGTATGTGTCGAGGAATTTCGGGTAGAAAATGTACCCTAATGAATGCTGGCAGTGGCATGCAGGTGTGGGTTTCATGATAAAATGATCTCTTTTACATGTCTTTATAGATTGGTTTTCTTACTTAAAGGTTTTGAGAAATGACACATAATAGGCGGGCGTGATCTATCACAAAGTTTAAAACAGCTGATTAATCATCATGGATAAAATGCCTGCAGAGAACAAAGATGAGGACGAATTGAGCATTCCTCGAGCTGCCCTGAACAAAATGATTAAGGAACTTATCCCAAACATCCGAGTGGCAAATGATGCCAGGGAGCTCATCCTTAATTGCTGCACTGAATTCATTCACTTGGTTTCTTTTGAGGCAAATGAAATCTGCAACAAGCAAAGCAAGAAGACCATATCACCAGAACATATTATTGCAGGTTAATCATAAGGGAATTTTTTTCATTGTTTGCATAACACTTTTTCATTGTATGCATAAAATTGTCCAGTTCAAAAGTTTTGTCAATTTTACTGGTCTCCAGAGTGCTACATAATTGCTCACATTTTGCAAATTCTAATCTGTTGATAAAATTACAGAATTCAGAGTAATAGTTAATTTTGTCTGTGTTCTTTTTTTCTAAAATGTGAAACAGGTTTGTAGGGCCTAATTATATTTGTAAACTATGTGTTTAAAGATCATAAAATTATTTACTAGTCTATATATTTTATAAATTTAAATATGTCGTGTCAGACTCTCATCTTTATTTTATTTTAATTTTTCTCAAAAGTGATGTCATCTTAGCCTGTCCATTTTTTTTTCTTTTAATCCATATTTTATATTTTTTCTGCATTAGGGTTAACCCTTATCCTGAGTTTTTATTGGAGAGGGCTAGAGCCCTAACTTTGATCCCAAACTTACGACATGAATGTACATAAAGATTATAGATTTGCTTAGATGTAAAATAAGGCTTATTACACAAAATATTTTCTTCAATGTATAGTTGATTATGGGAGGGTTGATGGTAATGAAAAATCAAGTGAGGCAGTTGCCTCATTGCCACAATGGAAGCTACAGCTGTTCACTGCAAAATGATGCACATGCAGTTCCACTTACATGTATAGCATGTGCAAAAATATATGCCATACATAGTCGAGACTAACTAAAGCCCTTGGATATTTTGAATATCCCCAAAAATAATTTTTAATTCTAATTAGAAAACCATCATCAAGTTTATTGATAGTAGATTGATATTACTACATATAAAAACAGAGAAAAAAAAATCCATTTTAAGAGCTTAAATTTTTTTCAAAAATTTATTCCTTGTCTTGAAAATAGAAAATGGTCTTGGAAAGTCATAAGGCTCTTCAGTATCATTCAGTTATACATATAATCATACAAGTTTATGTCTTTGTAACATTAGACTTTACTGTCATTAGGCCCTTCAATATCATTCAGTTATACATGTAATCATACAAGTTAATGTCTTTGTAACATTAGACTGTACTGGTACTGATTCTTATGGTAATGTGTACACCATGAATTTCCTTCTCCTTTGTAGCACTCGATCACCTTGGATTTGGGAATTACAAAGAGGATGCTGAAGCAGTGTTAGAGGAGACAAAAGCAGTGGCTGCTAAAAAGAGAAGAGGGAGTTCCCGTCTGGAAAATCTGGGAATCCCTGAGGAGGAACTGCTCAGACAACAGCAGGAATTGTTTGCCAAGGTGGGTATCTGATATTCAATTCAATTCAATTTACTTATTGACAACACCATCATACATTGGCATATAGTCATGAATACAATAAACAATAACATACATAAAATCAATAAAATTATTCCAGTATGCATATCAGTTATGTTGAAGTTTTTTCTTTTCTAATATTAAAGCATTTTTTCAGAAAGTTACATACTCTTCTAGCAATTTTAATACTTGGAGGGTTGATAATGTCAATAATAGGGTTTTCCTTCATGTAACATTGAGCATTAAATATATCACAATATTGTAATCTATACTGATCATAACTAGGACAATGAAGTATAAAATGTTTTTCATTTTCAATAAAAAGTTTACAAGCATGACATACACGTTTTTCTCTAGGAATAGGTGGCCTTGAGTATCTCCCTATTTCAATATGTAATGTGTATAATACTGATATTCATACTGGAATAATTTTATTGATTTTATGTATGTTATTGTTTATTGTATTCATGACTATATGCCAATGTATGATGGTGTTGTCAATAAGTAAATTGAATTGAATTGAATATCAGATACACGTTTTTCTCTAGGAATAGGTGGCCTTGAGTATCTCCCTATTTCAATATGTAGTGTATGAGCACTAATTCTTAGTTTTGTTAGGATTGTTCTTTAAGATTTCTTCAATGGTAATTGTAGGTAGTTCTGTAATTTATATTCATTTAAATTTATTATATTACTATAAAAAGTTAATTTTCCAGAATCTGATTTAGAAATGTTCTTTAACTGTTCACAGATTTTGTTCCTATAGTGCTCCTCTAATTTATGTCTTAAAATTTTATGTGGTATGTCCAATGAGGATAAAGACAATTTCTGTTAAAGAGTAAAAAGTTTTCTTTGCCAAGATATTCTAGACCCAAATGTTTCATCTTCCTTAAATGCAGACACCACTAATTGGTTCTGATGCTCATTCTCTGACTCTAAATTTTACAATCTTGAATAAAATTTAAACATATTTTCATAACCTGAATAAAATAGTGGGAACTGTCCCAACTCATATAGAACAGCAATATTAGATGATTTTCTATGAACACCCAGAATGTCTTTAAATATCTGGAGTTGTATTTTTTCAAATGGGAAATGATCTGAGGATAATAAATCACAATGATGCAGGTACAAGTATCTGCACTGGTACTGGTATGAAAATTAAATGTGAAGATAGCAAACAGTGATCATTCTGTAAAGCCCATTCAAACAATACAAATTACAAGCAACACAGATCTCTTAAAACAGAGATGGAATCAGGTGTCATGGAGGAGCAAGTGTCCTTTGCTGACTAGTCACACCAGCCCTGTGCTCTATGTCATGATCGGTTAAACTGAAAATCCTGTAGACAAATCAGTATGGAAATAATGGCCTAACAATTTGTATGAAAATCCTCAGTGATGCATTTTCAGTATTTTTGAAGACCCTGCTAATCTTAGAGTCTGTTTACCTGTTTTCACACCTATTTTCACACAGTCTTTCTAACCATTTTTTCTAATATCCAAAGGAAAGACTATGTACTATTTGTAAAAGTTAAACCAAGTAAAGGTTTATCAAGTCGATGTTAAAAAAAAAAAAAAAATTAAAGCCTTTGTTCACACTAGTGTTTGCAACAAAAATACCGTTCTACTATGCAAATTTTACACAATTAAAATACTTTTCGAAGATTGAAATGACTTTCAGAAACTTTGAGGGCTGGACCCTCTGAGCTTAAAGGTGGTCCAAGATATTTTATTAGACTGAAATCTTTATCTGCCCCTGAACTTCTTCATATTCTGTCTGCATTGTTCTTTTTCTAAGGAATAATTGTTTAGTGTTTTGTTTTAAGATGTCATTGTAATTTGCATAATGGTTTCCAGCATTTTTGTATGAATTACATGAAATCACACTGATTGATTACAACATAAACAAAACACACACACACACACACAAAATTACAAGATCTTTTCTCGTAATTACAAGATGATTTTCTGGTAATCATGAAATAAATGGGCGTTTTTGTTTTTTGATTTTTTACCTTGATACCAATAGGCTTTCATACTCATTTGTCAAATTGAAACACAGACAATGATATGTTATGGGGATATTTGATATTTAAAGCCAGAGGTAAATTAGTAAGCCTTTGAATTCAACTGCTTCAAATTGTCAACTTCAGCAAGCATATAAAAACTATGAATGCTTCTTAATTTGAACTTTTCTAGGGCTGGAATGTATATTTCATCATATTGACTTTATGGGGCTATTTATGAAGATCATAGAAAAATGTTTTCTTCTTTTAAATTACTATATGGAGTGCTGTATCATGAAAATATGCTTTGTTAATAGTTGTAATCCCAATGAAAAGGAGTTTTAAAAATAGTTATATTTAAGAAATAAGGTATCATTTTAAAACATCTATCAGGATATAAATACGGGTTGGTCACGAGATCAAATTCCATAAAGCCCGAAGGGCTTTATGGTAAATTTGATCTTGTACCAACCCGTATTTATATCTGATAGATGTTTAAAAATGATACCTTATTACTTATATTTACATTTGTGACTTATTTATATTTCATATTTGCCTGATTATAATCTATAACGTCTAAAATGTTTTATTTTTCAAACTCAATGGCACGTGTTTAATCCATTGATTGCACGTCGTCCCTTTATGACGTCACTGATAAATTACATCGAATGTTTATGACGTGTGGAACCCATGTTTATACAGATATAGATACACATTGCATTCAATAGTGTTATATAAAAGAAAACATTTACAAATGTAAATATAATGTGATATCACATTAATATATATAGTTTTATATAGTTGTTAAACATTTAATAGCTTGCCTTTATCTACTCAGTATATGTATTGCCATGGTTACAGGCTAAGCAAGAACAGGCTCTTCTGGAACAGCAACAATGGCTTCAGACCCAGCAAGCTCTGCAACAGCAGCAACTTCAGCTGCCACAGCAACCAGAGAGCAATGACGATGATTACTCCTAGCAGCAACAAAAATGACTACTCTACTGAGTAGTGTTAGTGTTCTAGTAGCAACAAAAATGACTACTCTATCAATACTGAGTAGTGTTAGTGGTGATGTAATAATTGTTCACATGTGGTTATTGTAATGTTTCACAAAAATTATTTTACAGAACAGAAATAGAAGTTAATTTCCAACAGATAATTTATATTTAGGAAGCAATTCCTAACTGAAGTTTATTGTTTTTTTGATTAAAGCTCTGTTTATTTCTATTCACTGTCAGCTGTATTTTCTCAGAAATGGTTGTCTTTGTATGATTTCAGTTTTATTTTCCTTGCATGAAGAATTTACCACTGTTGTAGAATATGATTGTATAGGCATGGAATATCCATTTTATGAAATATTGTCTCTTAAATTGGTTAATAAATGAATTATAAAAATCCAATTATTTTGTTTGTCATTTAAGATTTGAAATACAAAGCTAATGCATAATGATCACATTGTTTTGAATGGTTGCTTGTATATTGTTTTACGTCCCATTCCAGAATTTTTCACTCATATAGAGACGTCACCATATACCGGTGATGGGCTGCAAATTTTGACCTTTACTCGGCACTAGGGACCATTGAGCAGTGAGGGATCTTTACTGTGCCAACGTCTGCCATGACACAGGGCCTCGGTTTTTAAGGTCTCATCCAAAGGACCTGCAACTTTCACTTCAAAGTGCCGAGTGCTTGGCAAAGGAACAGTTGCTACCCATTTTTTATCGACTTAGGTCAGTCATGGCCGAGATTTGATCTCACAACCTCCCTACTGAGCTACCGTGAACGGTTTTTGAATGTCAAGCATTGTCATATTAAATCCATAAGAATGTGAAGCTGTTCTTTAAGGACCCTCTATACACTGATGAAAAATGTTTTTTGGACTTTGAAAAAATTATATATCTTAAAGGAGGATTTTTTTAAATTAACTAATTCATTTTTAATATAGGGAGCGTGCCTTTTTTATCCGGGAAAAATCTTCAAAGACAATGAAGTAATGATTAAGAAAAATTGCTTTTCCTTACTCAGATAGAGAAAATACATGCAAATAATGTCTTCAACTAATCTATCTTGGTCTAATATAATGTTTAGAACACTTGAATTTATTTTAAATTATGTCATACAGTGCAGATTACAATTTATTCTATTTTATGTCAAGTGGCGGGTCAGTCTAACTACACAAAAGTACCCTGAAATTAGGGTGCAGTGTAGAGAGGGTCCTTAATTGAAGTGATTCTCAACAGTTTTACTGCACATTCCAGTTAGTATTTGTATTAATGGTGTAAACGCAGGGGTAAATAAACAGTGAAATAAGATTGTAAAATCCTCAAGAAAGTTTTGTTGTTCAATTAATTTTTTATTCAAGAATATTAACAAAATTGAAATTTCCCCATTTCATTGATCTGTATGTTCATATAAAGTTAATTTAAATGAATTCTGAAGGGTTGACCACAAATAGTACCAATGTATGAATAATATAATAATGGTATGTTTATATTTTTCACCCAGATTTAACTGGAATAAGTCAAATAATAAAGTTAACCACAAAACATATATTGGGGGAATAGATTCAAAATATTTGTCCTTAGTCTTCATTATTTTTCACACAAATTTAAAACGGGGGTATCCATGTGTCAATGGTCATTTACAAGGACTTTTCCCAAATTGGTATCAAAACATGGCTTTTCTTCACTCTATACAACCATTTCTTATGATAGATTAAGACCAAGCATTTGACATCACAGATCACTGCTATTTTTAGAAATGGAACTAATGAGTACTCTTGTGAGTAGTTCATCAAACATTTAAAAATAATTTGGAAATCTGAACTGAAGTTGATGTTAAAAATCCACATTTAACATTATGTATACAGTCTGTAGATCAGGGCTGCAAACAATCTGGTGGATTAAAAGCACAAATTATGCTCTTTTATTACCATTTTTATGACGTCGAGCTCTTGGAGCTCGAACGTCATCTAGCGGTCGGCCAAGTGAAATCGCCAAGGGATGTACGCGACCGAATGTGTCAGTGGATGCATCCGCAATAGAAAATAGCAATAGCTATAAACCAATTTCTTTTAAAACGCTCACAATGAATAATTGTAGCTTGAAATGAAATTGCATCAATTGTATCTACAATTAATTCTTTTACAAAACAACGATATTATGTTTTATTTTCACACAATATAAACGTGATGGTTGTTGCGGATGAATTTCTACAGAAAGGTGCGTCGAATGACATGAATAACATTTTGGAACGATAACCGTGGAACACAAACAACCCAACAGGCGGTAAAATAATTTACAAAATTACATAAACACGAATACTATAAGACTGAAAAGATTGAATTTGTAAATCTTAGCTTTACTTTTACAATCTTCTGACCAACTTTATCCTAAAAACCGATGATGTTGACCAGTATTACTGTATTTCTCTATTTCCTCCATTTCCCAGTATACCGTATACCACGCCCGATCGTAACTCGATCGTAATTGTAACAGAACAGTCTTGGTTGTAGTTTAGATGCAATCACCAATACAACGCTTTGACATTGGCAATTAGAAAAAATATTATATAAATTTATGAAATCCTTCATAGTTCTTCAACTGACTGAAAAGAATTTAGCATGAAACATGTTCGACGGTGTCTGGTCAATTCGAACCCTGCTCCATTCGGACCATGACATAAGGCCCCAGACTGTAATTGTGATATTTTGTTTAAAACTATTTTTTTTTTATTATTTCTCCTGAGTCACTTACTTGACTTATTGCTATCTTCAAATTCAAAATGATCTTTTGAAATTGTTTTTCTTCTTCGACGTCATTGAAGCCTTTCAGGCTTTTGATTTTTAATTATCGAAGCATCGTATCATGTTACTTCTCTACATGAGAGGAAAACTTGCTGTGGCCTTCAATTCGAATTTTTAGGTTGATATGAAAAATATCCTGGGGTTCCTCATTGACAATATCTTTGCAGTCTTTTGAGACCTGGTCTTCCAACAATCTGTTGGAATCGTAATGGGCACTAATTGTGCTCCCTTATTAGCCGATCTGGCAGAATTTATTTAAAAACTTCAACATGAGATGAAAACTTGGGTTTTGTGGCCTTTAACTCAACATTTAGATAAATTGAGGACTTTTATCAATTAACAATAGTTACTTTCATTCATATGTCGATTTATATATACCACTGAACTTGAAATGAAAGACACAACAGAGTCTGCAACATCTGTTTCATATTTATGTTTTACTGACTATAGACCATAAATGACAATAATAACTAAACTGTATGACAAACAGGATGACTTGAGCTTTTACATCGTCAACTTCCCAGTAATTCCAACATCACGTGCATATGATGTTTAGATTCGATACGCAAGAGCATGCTCTAAGTATGACCAATTTTTAAACTGAGGGAAGCTGCCGACAACCCCGTTTTAAGTTAGCTTTTTGCAAATTCTACGGTCGGAATGATCTTGTTTGTAAATACAACATATTATAGGGTTGCATTTTGTCTGACAGGTTTCTTACCATTTATTGGGTCATTACTTTTATGCTAAATTTGACTACGGATTAGTGCGTCTACTCGATCAATACATAGGGCTTACGACAGATAGGGTGCGACCGGTCGGTAGGGAAATGTTTACTCCTCCTAGGCACCTGATCTTACCTCTGTTGTTTCTAGGAGTCCGTGTTTTAGCTCTGTTGATTGATTTTTACTCATATACAGACGTCACCATATACCGGTGAAGGGCTTCAAATTTAGACCTTTACTCGGCACTCACGGTTCTTTATCGTGCTAATGCCAACTGTGACACGGGGCCTTGGTTTTCAAGGTCTCATCGGAATGACCCGCAACTTTCACTTCAAAGTGTCGAGCGGTCAGTGAAGGGACATTTGCCTTCTATTTTTTATCAACTTAGGTCATTCAGGGCCGTGATTCGAACACACGACCTTCCGATCACGGAGTGAGCGCTCTACCGACTGAGCTACCGTGACGGTTGTTAATTTAAGAGATTAATCACTGTTCGTTGTCTTCATCTTTTACGTATTATCTACATGTAATATTATATTGATGATGTTTTACCAATCAACAAAATTAATTAAAATATGTATACCATGAAATCATATTAAAGGACAACATAGAATCTGCCAAAATTTCTTCATATGTAGATGTTTCACTTAATTAGATAAATGGTAAAACAGAAATATATGGGAAATGGGATTATACTTCAGCTTTTCCATCGTCAGCTTCTATTATCTCCGTAGTAGACAGATTCCATTATCACCTGCATTAGGTGTTTCTTTTTCCTAGATGATTCTATACATGTATGTTCTGAACGATCAATTTTCAACCATACGCAGGGTATGGAAAATGTAAGTGGATGGTAAAAGGTATTCAACAGCCTCTTTTAAAGTCACCGATTTGCACGTTATAATGACCGTGATTGCAAACACATTTATCGTCGTGTCGAATTTTTGACGAGCCTATCATGCCATTTGTAAAGTAGTCTAGTCTTTATTTTCTTTTAATTTTGAATACTGATTAGTCCGTCTACCTGTACAATACAAAGCTAGGGCCAAGGGTAGATCTGACCAGTCGAAAGGGGATGATTACTCATCCTACGCACTCAATAATACCTCAGGCCTCGAGGCCATAAATTGAGAATAGACTTAAGTCAAAATTTAGATTTTGAATGTCTTAATTTATGTTTACCCAACATGCTTAAAAACTTGCAAGTTTGTATATTTGAATACAAACACAAGATCAAAAAATTGTTTAATTTCTAAATCCATTTCAAAACTTGTACTTATTTAAAATTTTGTCTCAAATCTGTTCTCATTTTATGGTTTGGGACCTGGTGTTTGATCTGTTCTCAATTTGTAATGCTTATAGGATTTCTGAAATTATTCACTGTTCATTGTCTTCACATCTTTCACCCCCTTCCCCTCTCTCAATACTGACAATTGTTCCTATCTAAATAATTGCTCGCATCTATCTTAAGCCCACCCTAGCCAAAGGTTCAAGGTTGTGTACAATCAGATTGGTTCAATTCATAGCTCGTTGGGCTGCAATAGATGGTAAAATTTTGATACAGGAATAAATAGGAACAAATCTATAAAAAATTCTCATAAAGAATAATAGACCAAGAAGATATGTAAGCATTTCCATTGCAATCTTCAATTAAGTTTGTTCAACTAAGGTCAGCATGGGCTAATTTGGGGTCAATATTATACATGCATAGGAAAAATCATACAAATCCCAGATAATTAAAGTAGGAAAACGCGAAAAAAATCTAAATGAAGAGAAAGCTGGCCATTAATAGCTATATTTATATGACGCTTCTTTAATTAGAGTAGGTTCGTATTTGTTCAAATCATGCCAATCAGGCTAGTAGTCGTTAAAAAATCTCAAGACTTTTATATTAAAAGATAGAAGGTCAACAATTATTCATGTCAATTTATAAGCATCTCCAGATTATGTAGATAAGAAAAGAATGTATCCTTTGTTGGGTTATTTATGTTGGTGAAACCTAGGGTTCACATAATGAAAGAATATCCGGGCATAGATTTCAAATTAATAATGGGTACTAGCAGCTTCTATACAAGCACTTTAATTTACCTGATCATTCTATTTTATCAATGAAAGTTAGAATTCTAGAAAAGATTTACCATCATACTAATAGCCCATCATTAATTACACCTTTCCCTAGACAACGAGAAGAAACTTGGATAAGAAAATTAGACACGACCTTTCCATATGGATGCAATGACAATGTCGATAGTGTCAGGAATCTATCCAGTCCACAGTGTAGCAATGTGAAGGTGATGGGACTTTTTAAAAATTCAGAGATGTAAGCGTAGTCACAGAATCGGTCTTAGAATAAACCTACAATACACAATGGATCCTTTGACTCACTACTACCTTTTGTAAATAAGCAGTTAAATTTTCATCACATTCGCACCAAATTCTATTCTTTCTCTTTGAAAGTTTTAAATTGTCTATTTGAAAAGACCAAGGAAAATCCATATTTGGATTCTTCGACACCAGATTACAGGCTCGGATCTGTTATTATGGATATTGCAAATCATAGACTCTTTAAACCGTCACATTTTACCGAAGAAAATACTGCTAAAACAACCCGTATTTTCCTTAAACTTCAATATGCAAACAAAGGAGAATTGCCGCGGTTTATATCAATAATATTCTTAATCACAAAAAGGTCCTGTCTTGTATTCCACCATATTTCAAGTTTAAGTCCCCACTTATGGGTGTACTTTTCATAGCCAAAAAGGAAGAAATGGATTTTGACGTCAAGGCGGAGCAGCGAGAGACCTAAAATTTTGTGTAGCGCTATGTAAAACTCCTTTCCAGACTGACCAGCCTGCTAAAACAATAACAACGAGAAAAAATATGTCTAAGGGTTTGTCACATGTATTTCATTGGTATATATTTTTTTCTAACCTATAATTCAACTACCTCCGGACGACCATCAATTTTTACCGTAACGGTATTAAAAACGTTGACCCGCGTTGCATAAATCGGCACTACATGATGCTAAGTCATTCTATATAAATGATGCATGAAATATTTACAATATTGAAGCAACAGCTCACATTTTTTAAAGAATCGTTTAAGAAAAGAGACAGCTTGATTTTTGTAGGATATACAATTATGATAACAAAGAAAGAAGAGTAAGCTCTTCCCGATCGTTTCACCTCCGGCTGACTTAACGTTAAAATGACGTAGCGATGCTGCTCCAGGTCGATAGACATATGCATGTTTATTATTTCAACGGAAGTTAACTAATTATCCTTTAAATTAGAAATTTTGTATAATTGTTTTATTCGTTCTTTATAAAATGTTGACGAATTTTCCTGAAATTATATCTGCCCTTTATGGAGTTAGAGTAGTTGTCTCAATAATTTTCGAACAGCCCTCGTACAGCCAAAGGAAGGACTATCAATGGCAACCTTTATGTTAAAATTTTACTCAGGAAAATTAAGCAGATTTCCTGCATAGCAAGCCGAAAATATCGGTACCCCGAGTATTTTTCTGCACCTGAAAACGCTGCTGCTAATAAGCATAGAGAAATAAATAATATTTCGAAGAAAGGAAAGTTTACAGAGCTTGGGTATCCCCCATATTCGCTAGATCTCAGTCAATGTGAGATCTTTTTCTTTTAAAGATGAGTATACTGAGGTTTTCTAGTCATGGGTACACAGAATTTAGACATATGTAAATGTGAACAAAGAATGCTTTGGGGGATTGAAAGTATTAAGAATCTGCTTAACATGCTTTTCCTATTTTAAGATGACCTTTTGCATTATTTATTGAACGACCCTAGTATAATCCTCCAACGTGTTCATGTTCTGCTTTTTTCCTACAACTATAGTCCTGCTATAGTACTGTACAACAATATATTCGAGAAGTGGTGTTAATGTGCATAATTAAAAAATCCAAGGAACTTTAAAAAAATTTCAAATCACGAATTCTTACCAAAATCAAGAACATCAAAACATACGACTTTTCATCACTTTATAAACCATTCCCCACGATAAGTTGAAGCCCAGACTTTTGGACATCATTGACAACTGCTTTTTCAATACAAATGGAACTCGTAAATTTACTTACCTTGACACTGGTCATTTTCAACATTATTTTGTTAAAAACATTCTGATTGTACACACAAGTACTCTGAAGTTGACATTAAAAAGATGCTTGAGTTTCTGATTGACAATATCTATGTAGATTTTGAAGACCAGATCTACCAACAATCTGTCGGAATTCTCAAGGTTACTAATTACGTCCATTATTAGCAGACCTATTTTTGGGTTCATATGAAGCAGAATTTCTTTAAAATCTTATACACGAGAAGAAAACACTTGCTGTGGCCTTCAACTCGACATTTAGATTTATTGATGACGTATTATAAATTAACAATTGATACTTCCATTCATACGTCGAATCGATATATCCCAGTGAGCTTGAAATAAAATATACCACAGAGTCTGTCACATCTGCTTAATTTTGGTTATTTTACTTGAAAAAGACGTTAATGGTAACCTAACAACCAAGCTTTATGATAAACGTGATGACTTCAACTTTTCAATCGTCAACTAATGTTACTTATGTAGCAATATATCCTTATCACCCGCATATGGGGTTTACGTCTTTCAGTTGATTCGATACGAAAGCGATTGCTCTACGTGCGAACAATTTCTAAAACGAGGCAAGCTATTGCCAAAGAAGTTGATGAAACAAAAATATCAACAGTCCTGTTCAAAGTCAGGATTTCACAAGTTTTCTGGTTCTACACAATGACCTTAATTGTCAGCAAATGCAATCTATCATTAAGTCAAATGCTGACTGGCCTTTTCATACTAATTGTTAGGCCATTATTTACAAAATGAATTTTCTACGGATTTTTCCGTTATTTCCCGATCATGACAAGGATCACAGGGCGGGTGTGACCGGTAGGCAGGGGATGCTCTCTCCTCCATTGTACCTGATCCCACCTCTGATGCTTTTGGAGGTCCGTGTTTGCTCTGCTCCTGATCTGTATAGTTTGAACGGACTTTTGAGCTTGAATACTGTTCGTTATCTCCAGATTTCATTAAACAAAAACATACTAATAGTACGATTATCAAATTTATTCATTTAAAATTATTTAAAATTGGCCACAAAAGTCATAAATTATGATTTAATCTCATTTTGTAACCTGTCAAAGTATAAAAGTTAAAAAAATGATAAAACTTTAAGAACAACAATTATCACATTTAAAATATTAAAAATAATAGTTCTAAGAAAACTGATCGCATGTGTGAGAAACTTGGAATTAAGGAGCTTTGCCAGTATTCATTTAGCACTAACCGCCAGCAGTTAATCCACAAGACATCATACTGACACTTGCTTCGTCATCACGGGGGAATATTACAACAAAAATAACAATAGTAAAATTTTGAATACTGCGCAGTGGAGTAATGAAGAGAGAAAACAACAAAAATGTTTAAAATCACTGGTATCTAATACTGGAGTTCATTAATGCCTTTTTTAGAAGAACAACGCAAGGAGCACGGATAGAGAGATAACCATCCATGACATCTGAACAGCGCGGTCAACTGAAAAATAAAATGTTAAACAGTATAGAATCTACAAATAGAACAAACTTCCCAACAAAGCTTTGTCATCTAGTGTTGCAAATCAACCAAATAATATTATTTAAAGAGGAACTCTTATTACAAAACATTCTCGCAACCCACTGGAGATTTTTACTGTAAAATGTGACATATACATAAACAGTAGTAAAACTCCTACCTCCACTGGAACTTGAGAATGTGGTCCCTGCAGCGCTTTCTAACGCCGACATTTGTGAAGAATCCAGGGTGGATCTCTGAGTGGTGGTAGTGGCTTGTGCTTGAGCAGGACTAAAGTTTCTCAGCTGAGTAGAGGTAAAACCCTTACGAAACCAGAGTACACATTTTAAAATGAGATCAACCAAACATGCTTTACTTCTCATTTTACGACAAGAATTACAAGCTAGTTTTAACACAATTTTCATATCAAAAAAACCCGCATGGATATTCTAACATTGAATAAGCATTTAATTTTCTGTACAGATACATGTATTTCTAATACATTATAATTACAACAAACTTACTGAGAACACCGTGGACGGAATAAGGGTGACATGAGAGGCTAAAATTTCATCAATCTGAGCCTCGGTTAACGTGGCAATCTCTGTCTTACTAAGGCCACCTATTGACGAAATAAAACATTTTTTTATGTTTTGAAACGCATTAATACTGATAGATCATATCATCTGATTATTCCAAACTGGATTATTTCGAAACGTGATGGTAAATGCTAAATAAGCCCAATTTTGCAGCTTACCTATGTGAGCCCCGACGTTGGTGATTTGAACGCTTGTCCAGTTGTACACACTACCAAATGCAGTCTTGGCGTGGTTTGCAAACTCTACCATCTGGGTATCGCTGCAACTCGTCACTTCCCCAACCTTATCAGCAGATGCTCTGTAATTTTTGAATTTCATTACTTTATCATACTTTAAGTTCAATATATTTTTAAGTCATCGAGAATCATAAAGATTCAAATACCAAACTTCTTAACGGTGGAAAACGGTGTGTGTGTGTTTCGACAAGCATTATCATTCAACAATTTATTTTCAGTTGCTCTTTAGAACATGGTATGAAAAATTATAAACATTGAATAAAGATCTAAGGTGGCACACAGTAGGATTTAATTTACATAAGATACAGAAAAACTGCGTTTAAGGAATTTTAAAATTATAAAATAAATCTAAATTTATGCAATGAATGATTGTTTAAGTTCTTTTGCTTTGATCTTTAAGAGACATATACGTTTGTTGTCATTTAAATTACAAATTATGACAAAAATAATTTCTTTGTGCTTATATTTAAATAAATGCAACAACAGATTGATGATGAATAAAAAAAAAAGCAAAAGCAATCTTACTCATAAACAGCTCGGGTAATTTGTTGTATTTGACTTGTAGACATTGCACAAATCATGTGACCTAATGACCTCAGCTCTGATGAAGTTATTGTTGGTATGGCACTTGATTTACTCCAATTGCCAAATATGGTGGTTTTCTAAAATTTAAAATGATTGTTAGAAAACATGATTTGGTTACATTAAAGATTTATGACTTTTCTGAGTGACGTATGAGAATGTAAAACCTGAGAATCCTGCCATCCTGAGTAAGCCCCAAGCTGCGCAATGTCGTCATATATAAAGGTCATTGTGTCAAGTTCTTCCGAGGTAAGACCTTGGACGATGGATCCAAGACTCTGTATGGTGGAGGAAGACCACGTGCTTGGACTACCATACACCTGAAAACATGAAGACCCTTATGACACACATTCTGCATTTTTAAAATTTTTTACATACAAATATCAATAGTATTCACTTGAAAAATTTGTTTCTATAGTTAAGCGGCCACAGATTACTAACATTACTGTTCGTAATCTCCGTTATTAATTCTTTTGGAGACCATATATAGATATTGCTATTTTTGTACAAAATCTACAGGTTTTCTCACCGTTCCTCTTTTGGCAATACTGGCCAGAGCTTGCTTCTGTTCTGCGCTGTAATCAGTCGGGGTTCCCAATAAACTCACACATTGAATAAAATCGGCGTCCTGGATTCCGGAGAGTTGTGAAGTTGTCAGGGAGCTAAGCATGGACGACCCCATGTCATTTAATTGAGAACATGTAATAGTGGCTGCAAAAATATCACAAAACGAAATAATTGATTGTCAAAAGGAGTTTTATATTTTGCATCATGGACACTTAATCAAAATTTACCTGTGTTTCTCTTCCGGCGTCTGGCTGAGGTACAGTCCTCAATTGCAGCGATGATATATTCCCCTATTTCTTTTTTGATGTCATCAATTTCTTCTTTGCACTCCGTAAACAGCCCTTCTTCTACCAGTTCCTGCTTTATGGCGTCTCTTGTCTTTAAAGCTTTTCCAATAGTGGACACGGTATCACAGATTCCCGTCTTAAGAATAAGAACAAATATCCTGCTTAGATAACTCAGGTAGATTTATCTAAACTATTAATTAAAATATACTAAGATGTACTCACCACGCCTGAGAAGATGTTGCTTTGCAGATGTATAGCCCAATCACCGAGGTGGACAATGTCAGTAGTTGTTATGCTACTACTTCCTTTTCTGTAAAAATCCCAAAATTAGTAAAAGCTCTCAAAATAAGGTAATTCTTTCTCTTTAAAGAAGTCATGTGTTAAAGATATACCCGCCCATCAAACTTCTTACGACTGTGTTTTTCTAACTCAGTGTAAATTCAGAATCAGTGAAATTTCTGTTTTGCTGAAGAACATACAGTCAAACCTCGTTATCTCGAACTCAATTGGCCCGAGAAAATTTTTTAGAGATATCCAGGTTAAAATACTTATAGAATAAGGTGTTGGGACTTCCAAGTCACTTCGATATATCCATGTTTTTTTTTCGAGATATCAGTGTTCGAGATACCGAAGTTCAACTGTAATTGCAACATAACAAGTGTAAAGAGGACCAAGTTAAGACTCACAGAGTTACATATTTTTCGACGTAGGCACCAATCTTACTCAGACACGTAAACTTCGACGAGAGAATATTAAAGACGGCTTCCATGGCTGTTAAGTCCATCTTTGGAATATCTGAATCCGACAATAATTCGGCGCAGCTCCCCATACTGTTTATATGTGAACCAGTGATAGTATTAGAAATTCCCAGCTGTGGAAAGCAAGAACAATGCAAAAGATATTACACTAGAATTTGTATGAATGAAGAGAAGGTGTACAAAGTTAAATTAATATATGCATTTCATTAAGGTGTTTACATATAGAATTAGAAACTGTAGGAAATAAATTCGAATGAGTATGATCTGTTTTTAGAGTACTGCATCGTTAAAGTACGAGATATTACGTATAAGTCCACCTGACACCAGGAACCATTATTTTTATTAAAATTGATCTGTTCCCTTTGCTACAATTTCAATGTGCCAATTTTTGTAGATTCGTAGATTTTCAGTTGAGCCTACATGTGCCTTAAATTAATTGGATATAAATGCTACTTTATGCTTTTAAAACTATTGTATTGCTGTTATTGGTACGATTCACTAATATTGCACAATTTTACTATTCTATAAAAGAAAATATGTTTTTTTTTCTAATCCGACAACTGTTAGGCTTCGGACGCATTTGGATTTAAAAAAAGAGCAGAGGAAATATACGCACGCATTCAAAGACGTATTCTTTGATGTCACTTTTCCTCTGTTTGCCATCCAGCAAGGAGAAGTCAGCAGTACACACCTTTGTTGTAATATCTGAGCAACTTCCACTTACAGCTTTCAGCGCGGTTTTACTGTCAAAAGTAAACATCACAATCAGAAATGTGACATAAAACTATTATAAGTTCCTCCTCATTCTCGTCTAGTTTTAGTTTAATTCTAAGGACATTTAGTTTTACCCAAGCCCACCTGTCTGAAAGAATATAAATTGAGTTCAGCTTGAGCACCTTTTCGCTGATTTAATGAAGGGAATAACTTCTTATGACTTTTTATGAATGAAGATGATGTTTGAATGATATAAATGTACTATTTCCTATATGCATCTTAGGAAATTGGGATTGGTCAAGGACCTTAATTCTTATGGATGTCCAAGAGTCCTACGCATTGAAATATTTGACTTATTCATTTTTTTTTAATTAAAAAAATACGATTGCATCAAATGCCTTGATGCTTGCTGTGCAAGTAAAACCATGACTATCAATCTACAATTTTATTTGAAAATTTAACCATCTCTTTAGAAAAACGGTTCCTTAAAACTAAATTTGATTGCTTTTTCGCATCTCTCTATGGTTTTAAATTTCTCGAATTGTTCTTTAAAAAGATGAAAAGAATTTGACCATTCTTGATGAAGCAAATACTAGATTTTTTCAGTTTGATACAGGAGGGATAAGATTGTATTAAATGTGTTTAGATGGTTATAATTTAACTGACCTATCTTTGTCAGTATCTATATGATTATTTTAACTCTTTTTATCAAGGACTTCACTAAAATTCCATTTTTTGAGGACATTCATATTTTGGTTTGGCCAAATAAGTCTATAGTCATTTTGAGGTACCATAAATTATACAAACAATTTATGTTTTTTCTTGTTAGAGCACAAAAACAATTGACATCTGTTTAATTTTTTCCAGTTATAAACTTCGAAAACATTTTATTGCCATTGTCTTACTTAAAACAGGCAAGTGCATTCCCGGAAAGCGTGGAGGCATCAGACAGGTCTACGTTAGTAGAAGTTAGGCAGGTCTCTAACTTTTTACACACGTGCTCGTACTGAAATAAAGAAATGCTAAACAATTACGTTAACACTTACAGGTGTTAACTGCAATCCCTTAAAATCTCAAGAGTGTGTATATCCTCAAACATGATATGTGACGTCATATATTTTTATGGCTATTGTACAAAGTGTTTGAGTTAATTATGGCACAATGAGTTTTCCTTGAATGTAATGGATGAAAGTCATACCAAAAACTTAGCGTGTTATACTGTGAGTGTTAGGATTAAATATAAAAAAATATCGAGAATAGCCTCAAGTATCTAATCTATCTATCATCTATCTAAAACAGGGAACCTCGGAAATTCGATAGGTGGGATCAGGTGCCTAGAAGGAATAACGTTCCCTTGTCTACTTGTCACACTCGCTATGAGCCCTTCATATTGATTAGGTAGATGGAATAGTCCGTTGTCTAAACAGAAGCCTAACAATTGGTATGTAACATGCCAGTCAAAATACAATTCAATGATAAGTTATATATGCAAACAAGGTCATTATAACAACCATAGAATTTACGAAATGCTGACTTAAATCAGGTTGTTGAGTCCCTGTAACATCAATTTATCTTTCAGTAGTCTGCCTCTGTTTAAAAATTGATAGTACTCAGAGTATGCTCTTGAAACTCGAAGAAATTGGGAGACCTTAACGCAGTTGAAACGGAATATTACCACAGAAATAAAGAAAGTTAATGATGGAGAAGCCGGACATTTCGTTTGTCATACACTTTAGTAGTTAGCTGTCCCTAATCGTCTACTGTTAGTAAAACATTCAAATATGCAACAGATGTAACAGACGCTGTGGTGTCTTTGTTGATTCGTGGGAAACCAAATGGGTCACAACAAATATTTGACTCATATCCGTTAATAATGATAGTAAAATAACGTCGTACAAAGTCTTACCTTTTCAGCTGAAATGGCTTCTGATTCAGTGACAGATGAGAGAATGGTTGGACAATTGGCGTTATTTGTGTCTATTGTGTTAAACAGCGATTTTGGTGCGGATCCAACCACAGCCACTAGATTGGAAACAACGTCGGGATCGTTCAGTGCTATTCCAGTATCTTGTACTTTCTTCATCAAAGCTTTTTCCTGTTTTACAGAAAAAAATTATCATGCAGAGATTTAAGATCAGATAAAATACAACTGAAATAAACACTGTACTTACCAGATTCTTAGGGAGCTTAACCGACTTCATGTCAGGCCAGCTGGCTAGTGATTGCACGTCTGCTGGACTCATATCCGTTATGAAATCTTGTGGTACATAACTCATCATATCTTCAGACGATTCGGACGCTAGTGTTTTGAAAGACCCTTCACGATCGGACGTGTCTAAGGACTAAAATTAAACAAGATATTCATGTTTTTTTAAATGTCGATATCCACTTCTGACAATTGTGAAATAACGATTGTTTTACTGTTAACTTTTTATCAGTTAACATTACAGTAAAACTTGTTTAGTACGAACACGGATATAACGAATAGCCAAGTTTTTTTGGAATCCCCGGCAAAATTCTTAACAAATCCTAGGAAATTACTACAGTTATAACGAACTCTGATATAACGAATTTACAGATATAGCCAACTGATTTTGTGTCCCGTAGAGGTCAAAAATAACGAAAATTACATTTTTTATAACGAATTTTTAATATATCAAAATTCAAATATTTATCTGACATTATTTTTAATCAGTATTTATATCCGAAATTCAGTTCTTAAAAATCTTTAGTACCCTAAGGAAAATTGTATATTGAATACCTCCAAGTACATATTTGGTAGTCATATTTGAAGGAAAAAAATGCATATTGCGAATTCTTTATATATACTTTAACGAATTCGTTATATGGATATAACGAATTACGGATTGGATATAACGAATTACGGATATACAAAGTAAATTCACAGTTCCCTAGGACTTCGCTATAACCGAGTTTTACTGTAATATATTATACTATGTCAATGGAATAATGCCATACCGCTTCAACCACCGCTGTGACCACAGAGGGATTCACTTTATTTTCTTGCTGTTGATTCTTTATACTTTTTATGTAGGCCTTCTTGGTCTCTGCAGACTTTCCTTTGAGGGAGGGTAGTGAGTTAGATCCGCCCCTAACCAACAGATCGGCGTTATCTTTGATCTGTGTTTCTGATGTCAGCTGCACATATCAAAGATATTATCATTTTCTGATGTCAAATATTTATAAAAAATAATTATTATTTTAATTTAGATGAATCAACAGGTACGTACACTTCCGCTAATTTGTACCAATAGTCTTTTAGCCTGAAATAAGAAATAATGTGTTCAGTAATTTCCTCTCAAATCAATGAAAAATGAAAAAATACTCGAAGTTATTCTCTTTGACATTAAAAATGGTAGGCTTATACACGTACATGTATCTTGTTTAAATAACACATATCGTTCAGTTTTATATAAATTATGAAAGGAACAGTTCAAAATTTGAGGTGGGTTTGAAGAGTGTATATTTCTTTGTTTTGGCTTAAGTTGGTGAATATTTAGTGGTCTGTGCAAGAGATGCGTGCGTTTTAATTGAATTGTTATTACATGAGTGGGCGTGAGTTTGGTGAATGTTTAGTGTCTTTATTGAATTTGATGAGTATCCTTTTATTAAGCTGACCTTCTGAGTTGTGATGAGTTCACTTTGGTGAATATATAGTGATTTGTCGTGCAGTTGATGATATGGATTAAATGATTGTGTTTTTATATAGTTGATTTACCTGAGTTGGTGTGAGTTTGTAAAATATTATTTATTGATCTGTTTTGATGTTTTGTACTTGATGAGCATGCTTTTTTAGATGACTTACCTGAGTAAAGTAAGTATGGTGGATATTAAGGTAGCTTATCTGAGGTGGAGTGAGTCTGGTGGATATAAAGGTGGCTTACCTGAGGAATAGCGAAGTGGACGTAAAGATGACTTACCTGAGCTGGAGTGAGTTTGATGGATATATGGTAGCTTACCAGAGGTGGAGTGAGTTTGGTGGATATCAAGTTAGTTTACATGAGGTGGAGTGAGTTTGGTGGATATCAAGGTAGTTTACCTGAGGTGGAGTGAGTTCGTAGATATCAAAGTAGTTTACATGAGGTGGGGTGAGTTTGGTGGATATCAAGGTATTTTACCTGAGCTGGAGTGAGTTTGGTGCACATGATGATGGCTTACCTGGGGTGGAGTGAGTTTGGTGGCTATCAAGGGAGCTTATCTGAGGTAGTGTGAGTTTGATGGATATGAAGGTGGCTTACCTGAGAAAGAGCTAAGTGGATTTAAAGATGACTTACCTGAGTGGAGTGAGTTTGGTGGATATTAAGGGAGCTTACCTGAGGTGGAGTTAGTTTAATGCATATGAAGATGGCTTACCTGAGGTGGAGTGAGTTTGATGGATATCAAGGGAGCTTACCTGAGGTGGAGTGAGTTTGGTAACATTGATTTTGTTCTGATTATATGCCGTTGTTAGTTCAGAATCAGACAATGAGTCGACAATCTCAGCTGGGGCATACTTCAGCAGACAATCTTTATCAGCAGTCTTGTTAAGCTTTCCTTTGCTTCTAAGTACGTCCATCACCTCTCGTTTCTGTACAATTTAGTAGCTATGCATTTCAATGTCTCTTATTTTCAAAACATGTACGCTATTGCACGCTATTTTAGGTCTTTCTATTCAATAAAGTGTAATAAACTATCGAAGATAAAAGTTAGTTTAATGAAATAAAAATTCTCTAATTTCTTTGAACATGTACTGGTAAATTAGAAGTCGATTTAAAAACATTTTGCAGCATTTATGACACAGCTTCGATTCAATACTTTACTTTATAACAAAATTACCTACTTATTTTATATATATCAATGGTAGGTTTGGATGATTTAATCACCTGATCATCAGTGAATTTGGCATCATCCAAAACATTGTCTGTGCAAACTGCTTCTTTAACTTTTGTCAATACTGCAGCATCCAGGGATTTCATCGTCGACTTGGAGATCGGTAAATACCTTCATACGATATGTAAGGCCTGTTGTATTTTACCAAGGCACATAATGTTACATTAATTTTTACCAAAACATGTATTATTACATATAATTCATGGAAGACTGTTTTGATATGTATTGTAAGATTAATTTCAAGCACGGCTCTGAAGCAGTAAGTAATATTCAACATTGGAGAATCTTTTTTTTATTATATCCACTTTCCTTACTTCTTACTCAAACTATAGAGCCATCAGAGAAAATGCTAAGTCCTTTATTAGTTTGATTTTTAAATTCTCAAAGTGTTTTCAATGTGTTAAACCAAAAATGTATGGAAACAAGAAATTTACGAGGAAAGAGTAGTTTTGTCCATTGTTGAAAAGTCAACTTTCGTGGATAAGAATTCCGTTTTTATGATTTCCCATTCTCGTGATTGCTCTCTTGATGGTGTATACTCCGCAACCTGGAACAAAGAAAATTGTCAATGTTGCTTGATATGAAGTGTATTGAAAGCTTTGGCATTCTTAACACCCAAACACGGATGGGGAGGTCAAATGGTTATGATTTTTATTTTGACGCACAAACGTTGAACATCACGCTCACATTAAACAGTTTCACGGCATTAGCAGTTTCAATGGCTCTTCTATTAACTGTAACTTACTCGAAGGATAATACAGGGATTTTTAACTAAAATTCACATTTCCAGACAAGCAGGGTGTTCAAAAAATGTAAATATTAGCATTGAATAAATATTTTTAAAAGATGTAGTCTCAACTGCAATGTTGCTTGCAAACAAATTTTCATAACGCGCTTACAAGTTACTCGATCCATTTGTTTACACACACCATCGAAGTTACGAGACGATATCTTTCAAAAAAAAAATTCAATGCTTAATTAGCGTTAATTTGATAAGAAGACTTCGACATCTAGCCTTTTTAACAATAAACATTATTATATTCCTCTGTATGTTTTTCATAAATTTCATAAATTGATTGAATAACGATTGAACGTAATGCATAGAGGCTTTTGAATGTTTTTTTTTAAATTCTATAAAAGATTTACATTACAGATGTTTTTTTTTGTCTCCCAGTTGATTCGATAAGCAAGAGCATGCTCTACGTATCAGCAATTTATAAAAGAGGCAAGCTATTGACAAACAAGTTGATGAAACAAGGATATCAACTGTCTCGTTTAAAGTCGTCATTTCGGAAATTTTATGGTCCATATAATGGCCTTGTCAGCAATACAATCATTAAGTCAAATCATGATAAACCTGATGACTATTTTTTCTATTGTCAACTTCCCTTACTTATATAGCAATATACCCTTATTACTTTCATATGAAGTTTATGTCTCCCAGTTGATTCGACACGCAGTAGCATGCGCTACGTACGAACACTTTCTAAAATGAGGCAAGCTATTGACAAACAAGTTGGTGAAACGAGAATATCAACAGTTTCATTTAAAGTCATCATTTCCAAGTTTTATTGTCCATACAATGAACTTGTCAGCAATACAATCATTAAGTCAAATGCTGACTGACGTTTTTTATACTAATTGTTAGGCCATTATTTAAACATTGAATTGTCTACTGACAAGGAGCATGACAAGAAGCACACGGCGGGTGTGACCGTTCGGCAGGAGATGCTCACTCCTCCATGGCACTTGATCCAAACTCTGATGTTTAAGAGGTCCATGTTTGTTCTGCCATCGATTTGTGTTGTTGGACATTGAGCTTGAATACTGTTCGTTATCTCCATATATGTATTTAATTTTTAATCTAATTTTCACTGACATTGATCGTTCAATCTTCATAGTAAGTTATTACAGTTAGCTGTGATAGTTAATTACTTAACTATCCAGTTGATCATCGCAATTACGGTTGATTTTTTTTTTTTATAGATTTCTTACTTTTGCACTTTTGATTTTAAAAAAATTGAAAATTTCTTACTTTTGCATTGTTGCAAAACTTTGTCACGTATTTTGGTTTAAGGTTACACAGATTCATCAAAAGAAGGAAGTCCTGATCACAAGGAAAAGTGGTCTTGTTGCCGAGATATGAATTTAAACGGCTTTGGAAAAGAGATTTCGATCTGTCATCAATATTTGTCTTGTTGCACAAATTTTTCATCGAATCAACTCTGCAATTATTAAAAAATAACATTTTAGTAGAAATCATCCTCTAGTTAAAACGATTCAAAAAAAAAAAAGATATACAAATGTTTTCTTTGAAAGAAAATTTAATTTATCTGAGAAATATTTCTTTTTCTATGAAGGGACGTCAAGTACAAACACATAAAAAAGAGAAGAAAACGAACAAAAAAAAAAAACACATACGGGCTAAAGTTATTTTCTCTCCCTCTCTCTTTTTGTCTGTCTTTCTCTATCTCTCTCTTCACACACACACACCATCCCTCACACATACACCCCCCCCACACACACACGAGAGAGAGAGAGAGAGAGAGAGAGAGAAAGAGAAAGAGAGAGAAGAAGAGAATCTTACGATAAGAGATTCCCAAGTGTTTCGTCGTTGACGTCTTTGAGACAGACTGCTTTATCTAGAAGACATTCCTGGGCATGATCTACAGCAAATTGCCACTTGCTGATTGGCATATCACACTGTCCATCCATAAAAGCTTTACATAGAGAAGCATTAAAGTACGTTGAGTCCACGGTTCCAGCTTGTTTTGCATCCTAAACAATGACAGGTATATTTATTATTAACATTAATGTGATGAAATGAATGCTTTTTGTTTTCTTTTGTCATAATGTAATGCACATTATGTAACAATAACACTAGTAAATTTGTACCTTAAATGTTTGTTCTAAGTTGAATGAGCTGAGATGATCCTGAACTTGACAGCTTCTCGTGAGTGAGGCAGAGGTAGCCAAGTACAACTTTTGATCGGTAGATGCTTGCCTTGTGACGTTATCAAGTAAAGTTTTCTAGAAAAAATATATTTCTGATTATGAAATTGCGTACATAAATTATATAATTTAAACACTTCAAAAATACTTTCCGTGGATAATTTTGTATTATGCCAAGCATGTTTGCTACCTGTGTAGTAAAATATAGCTAAAGAACTAACGTACATTGGCAATAGCAAAGACCTCTATAGGAATTCTCTTGACATCATCATCCGTCACTGACTTTGGATCCCTCAAATATTGTAGAGCTTTTTCTTTGGTACTGTCGGCAAGACTGATCCATTTTCGTAAGTATTTAGCAAGTCTAGAACAAGTTCCTATTTCAGCAGTTGCAGTAAATACTTAAAAATAAAAAAGAGAAAACACTGCCTGCCTAAAACCACCAAGACGAGGATAAATGTTAAAATGAACACATATGCTATGCAAAACAAACACACTCACCCATTGCGGCAGATGTATCATTCAAAGCTCTCATCATAGTAGTATTTTTGGCGAAGGATTGGCAACCCAAAAAGTTGCCATATTTGTCATAGGAGTAACAGTCCGTAGATGTTTTGTCACTGTAGCACTGAGGACAGTTTCTAGGACACTGAAGTCCTTCTGCACCAGGATCTGTGATTAATATTGGCGTTGCATTACATATATTAAACAACATTGCACTTGATTTTCCAAACACTCCTCTCATTAATGACACAAAATATTTCGTGAAAAAATATGTTATATCCCACATCATTTAATGTTAGGACAGGTTGCTTTGACACATAAATGAAAGTCTTTTAGAGAGCTATGGGAAAAAACAAATGTGGATTGTAAATATTTCGAAAACAAATACTTACCGCATCCACTAAACTGTTTAGGAGTAACTACTGGAGATTGTGTTGTAACACTTGAGGGGCTTCTGGTTGGCATAGATGTGGGCATGGACACAAACGGACTTTTGGTGGGCATGGACATTGATGAAACTCTGGTGGACATAGATATAAATTGATCCTTGGTGGGCATACTCATAGATGGATCCTTAGTAGGCATAGTCATAGAGGGATCCTTAGTAGGCATACTCATAGATGGATCTTTAGTGGGCATGGACATAAATGGATCTTTAGTCGGCATGGACATAAATGGATCCTTGGTCATGTTCCCCATTGGCATAAATGCGCCTCTGATTTGTGTACAATTATGTGAAACATATGGAAGGCAGTTTGAAGCAGTTGTATTTATGAATCTCCACATGCTCGGAGAGAGAAATGAGCAGTTACGCAAGACAGCACGACAAAGTTTTTCATCGAAAATGGAAGAATTAACTTCGCTTTTAGCTTCACTGTTCTATTAAATTAAGACAAACTGAAATAAGCTACTTCATAGAAGAAACAATAACTTTGTAAACTTATATATAGATATCATACTCATAAGAATAAATACCAGGTACAATTGTGTGAAGTTTAGTCCTCTAAGCATGCTCTCTACTTCACAGTCATTGCTCATAAGGATTTTTATCTGAATTGCCAATTTCTTCCTGTCTGTTGCCTTGCTCATGACCTCTCGCCAAAGAGTTTTCTATAAATTTAATGCTGAGATAAGAAACGTATTTCATGCTTGATTCTATAAAAGAGCTATTGACTGAATCCAAACTTACATTGGCAGCAGCAAAGGCCTGTATAGGCATTTTCTCCACATCTTGGTAAGTGATGCTTGGGTCTGCGGGGTTGGAGAGGAAGGTTTTAATCTTTTGTTTCGTAGCATCTGTCAGTCCGGCCCAAGTATCCAGATACTTAGCATAGCGGGAACATGTACCCATTATGGAGGAAGCCGTAAACACTATAAGATGTGGAAGAAATATCAATACAAGCTAGAAAGTCTCCCATTTATGTTAAAAATAAATAATAGGACCTTAATAGTTCGTTCCATGAGATGTAGAAAAAATAAATATTAAGTGATGAATGTTACTGAATGATTTTTGAATAACATTCACAAAATAAATATGTATCTTACAGCACATAATAGCTACAATGAATTTGAATGAAACTGAGAATTGCAAAATGCTGACAATCGTATTTTCAAATTAATGTCCTAAACCAGCAAATATTCATATTTTAGTTACATTTATTTCCTAAACTAAAGTAATATGGGCCTCATTTTTATGTAGGTTTCGAAGGAAAACGAGTATATTTGACATAGGATCTATTTTCTTCAAATATATACCTCTCCTTGACAAAGTTAGGGGTGATTTTGAAAATAAAATAAAAAGACACCACAGATCTCATTTGAAAAGAAAACATTACGTTATTTAGCAATAATTAAACTAAAGCATTAAAACTTATATAACCTGGGTTGAAACAGCTTCCTCTCTTTATAAAACGTTTCTTAGCTTTTAAAATGTAAACTGTCCAACCCTGGTTATACAATATAAAGTGGACGGTTATCAAATTTATTCCTTATTGACGACATAAACATACTTGTATCTAGTTACATATGAATTGAAATATAGCATTGAAACAATGTCAAAGGATAGGCAGATGATGGTTAACAAAAATGAAAGTCCATGTCTGTATAATTTATACCCTTCATCTGAGACAAAAGTGTAGTCCTTTAGAGGATTTTTCCTTCTCAAAACTGTTTCATAATCCAAGTGTTTCAATAATGAATATTTACAACAAAATACTTTTGAAATGTGTAATGTTTCAATGTTTCTGTCAAAATTGATTTTCTAACAGTATGTCGGAATTCCCATGGGTAATAATTGCGCCCCGTTATTAGCAGACCTATTTTATATTCATATAAAACAGAATTTATTCAGAAACCTATACACTACACAAGAAGAAGAAGCACTTGCTCTGCCCTTCAACTCGACACTTAGATATATCAACGACGTATCATCAAAAAAAAAGCAAAATTTACATCCATCCATATGTGAATCTGTATATCCCAGTACACTTGAAATGAAAGATACCATAGAGTTTGACAAATATGTTTCATTTCTGGATATTTTACTAGAAAAAAACTTTAATAGTAACCCAACAACAAAACTTTGTGATAAACGTTATGACTTTATTTTTTTTATCGTTTGTTTTGTTTTAACAATATGGTATTGGGGTGAAATAGAATTACAATGTTTAGAATAATGCTAAACGAGAAAATAACTTATAATCACATGTTAAGCTCTTTATCCCGTATATAAAACAATGTAAAATCATTGATTGTTATGTTTAAAAAGGGGTTAAAAGAATCCCCCATTATTTGTGGTTGGATATGACATTTATCAAATTTAATAAGGCTCGGGGATAAAAAAACCCCAAACAAACAGCAAGTTGGATAAAAATCATACACAACCACAAGTCATGGGAGATCCTATACTTCCCAGGCCTATGAAAACATTATACCACTATCTATGGAGATGATGTAGCATAAAACGTGAGATAAGAAAGAGTGATCAAGATCAAAATCCATTTTAACAATGCAAATTGTGAGCAGAGCAAAATCCATTTTAACAATGCAAATTGTGAGCAGAGCTGTGAAATAATACACCATATTACTGATGAATCATTTCCTCTATCTTCATTCACTGAGGTTTTAACATATCAAAGATTCTACTTGCGTTTCCATATACACTGCATTTCTCCAAATGTTTTTTCTCATTCCTGAAATTTACCTCCTGCTTCTGAAGTTTCATTCCTGGCCCTTGATAGTGTGACATTCATGTCTATATTAGGACACGGTTGGGGGTTTCCCATTTTATCAAAGGAGAAGCTGTCTCCTGTACCTTTGTTCTGGTAGCAAGGACACTCCATTGGACATGGCAATCCAGTAAAGTTACCTAAAATTAGATGTAGAAACATTTAGTTTTGAAAGCATGCATTAGCATATCATTTATTAAGAAATCTGTTTTCCAGAAAAGTAATATAGAATTAAATTCAAATTTAGTGATTTGATACTACTAAGACAAAATATTTATTAAAGAGAAGAATATAAATCCCAATTTATTTTTTTTTAATCGATACCAATAACAGTTCTCGACATAAACCTTCATTTACATCCTTAAAGGCTTTTCTCTACTGCTTCACACAGGAAAGAAATAATTCTTTTATTATTAACACAGAATATATAATGCTGCTGTCCAAGTGTCATAATTTTTCGAACCAAAGAATCCAGATTTCATTCCGTCTTTTGACCCCGAGCAATCTTCAGACACATGTGAGTAGCAATTTGGTGCCGTCGTGTTGATAAACCTGAGGAACTCAGCGGGTAGAAAAGAGCAGTTACGCAGAAGAGCACGACAAAGATCTTCTTTAAATATGGAGGAATTTACCTCACTCTTTGCTGCACTTGCCTGTCATAAAATAAAGTTCATAATGGGAGTATATTCAACAAACATAAATCACTTTCATTTAACACAGAGAATAATACTTTATAAAGAAGGGAGAGTTTAATAGGTACCAGATAGAGTTTGGTAAAATTGAGTCCTTTTAGTATGCTCTGAACTTCACAATCTTTGCTCATCAAGACCTTCATCTGAATAGCCAGCTTTTGTCTGTTTGATGCCTGGAACATGACCCCTTGCCACAAAGTTTTCTGTGAATATCAATACAAGTTATAACATACACCAATTTTAAAGATAGAAATATGATTCTATGTGTATTGAATTCATATTACATTAGCAGCAGCGAAGGCCTCTATGGGCATTTTCTCCACATCTTGGTAAGTGATGCTTGGGTCTGCGGGGTTAGACAGGAAGGCTTTAATGTTTTGTTTCGTAGCATCTGTCAGTCCGGCCCAAGTATCCAAATACTTAGCATAGCGAGAACATGTACCCATTATGGAGGAAGCCATAAACACTACAAGAAGAAGTGACAGAAATGTCAATTCAAACTAGAAGGTCTCACATTTGTGTTATAAGTAATAAATAGGCCCGGAATATTTCTTTCCATGAGTTGGAGAAAAACAAATAAATATTAAGTGATGTACGTTATTAAATGTTTTTTTGAAAAACATACACAAAATAAATATGTATCTTACAACACATCATAGCAAAATAGATCAGCTACATTGAATTGGAATGGAATTGAGAATAGCAAAATGCTGACAACCATATTTTCAAAATTTGGTTCTTTACCAGAAAATGTTCATTTTTACTTACATTTATTTCTTTAACTTAAGTAATATGAACCTAATCTTTATGTAGGTTTTAGGGAAAAGGAGAACATTCGAAAAATGAAAAAAAGTGAAGATAACGAACAGTGATCGATCTAAAAACAATCTTTAAACGATACAAATCTGTGAACAAAGGATTGATTTTCTTCACATATAAAGCTACTCTTGGCAATCAAAGTTGAAATGATTTTGAAAATAACAACTTTTTAAACACAAGGCAGATCTAATTTGAAAAAAAGACATTACATTACTTAGTTATAATTAAACTAAACAATTTAAATTTTTATATAACCTGGGTTGAACCAGCTCCCACTTCTTTATAAAGTGGTTTTTTTTAGTTCTTCAAGTACAAACTTTACAACCAAGGTTATACAATATAAAATTTCATTCCTTACTGACGGCAAAATCATACTAGTATCTAGGTATTGATATAATTTATACCTTTCATTTGAGTTAAAAGCATGGTTCTTAAGGAGGGATTCTTGTCTGGTTTCTGACTAGATGAAATATTCAAAGTATATTTTGCTTATATGTTTTATATATTTAGATGTAAGAGACTTAAAAGATCATATTTGTCTTTCCTCATCACAATTGTACAACTTGGTAAACTGAGTTTGAAATCTAGCTGGGACTATATTTTTGGCGGAATGGCAGCGTATGAAAATATCTTCTTTTCTGCCTCTCAAAATAATTATAGAACAATGAATTTAGTTATAATTTTTACACAATCAAAGACTTGGAGAAAATGTTTGAATGTAAGTTAAATTAATAATAAGGGATTAAAGTTTATAATATATGAAATAAATATGATTTTCCTAACAAACTACAATTATGTTAGCTTTTAAAAGCTTCCAATCTAAGTTCAGATTTGAGCCAAAAATCCGTAAAAAGTGTTTTTTCTCTCTTAGTAAACGGTCAGAACTTTTTGTTTTTATATCATTTTGTATCTTTATGTGACAACTTTACCATATGTGAAAATAAGAAAAATTTAAATATAGGAAGCATATAAAAATAACTAAAATATCTTAAAATTTTAAGAAAAATAGAGAAAATTCGGATTAGCCAATATGTATTTTAGTTAAATTTTCTATGTCAATTTGGTAATATCATCTTATAGACCCTATATGGTAATATCTCTTTATGCAAAAAGAAAAACATTTAATTTATTGAAATAGAAGTAGGCATCGCATGATTGGCAACAGTAATTTTTTATTCTTAATGTCCAGGGAAAAGGTACTGACCTTGACCTGGGCCTTGCCTCTACTATAAAACGGTCAAATTTAATCTGACTGATACCATCACTTAGCGATATTGTCTTCTTGATTCTGTGAAAATTTCATTGATTTTTAAATATAAGAAATAAGTGTTCTCATAAGAAGAATCCCTCCTTAAGAGGATTCGTCTTTGCCAAAACTGTTTGATAATCCAAGTATTTCAATAATAAATACATGTATTTATGACAACATACTACTGTGATATTAGTTATCCAGGTCTAATCAAGGGTGTATGGGGATTTACCCCGGGGTAAATCCCCGTACACCCTTGATTGGACCTGGCCTTTGGCCTCAGGGTGTATGGAACAAAACCCGGGGTAAATCCCCGAACACCCTTGATTGGACCTGGATAACGAATTTATTTCCTATGTACTCAAATAAATTCTTTTTAAAATAAGTCCAATCAACTGTGTTTCAAGCTATCGCTAAGATTTACTACGTCCTACAATGCATCGTGACGTCATGTTATTTGCTTTTTATCATAGAGAAACTTTGCATTGTGACGTCACGTTTTTTACCCCCGGCTCAAGTCGGTTGTACGGAAATACACCCGACTTTGTAACCAATCAAAGCTTGTGTTACAAGCTATATAAGAAATAATGTATATTTCGATGCTCGTAAAATATTTGATATATGAATCAAAATACCGGTATTTGTTACAAAAAAATCTACAATGTCCATTTTCAGTAAAATATATTTAGTAATCTGTTTATGTTTAATACTAATCAATTTTCTATTTCTAAGCAGATTCCCACTTTTAAATTGTTTGAAAACTGTTTTAACAAAATCTTATTTATATGAAATGGAAGTTCAATGTCTGAAATAATATTAATCGAGAAGATCACTTATTCCAAGGTCTATGGAAAAATCTAACAATTATCTATGGAGATAATATCGCATGAAACGTGAAGATAAGCAACAGTAAACTCATAATCCATTGAAACAACGAAAAATGAAGCAGAGCTGTGAAATAATACACCACATTACTGATGAATTATTTCCTCATTCTTCATGCATATCAAAGATTTCACTTGCTACTCCTTATGCATTGTATTTCTGCCAAGTTTTTTCTCATTTCTGATATTTACCTCCTGCTTCTGAAGTTTCATTCCTGGCCCTTGATAGTGTGACATTCATATCTATATTAGGACACGGTTGGGGGTTTCCCATTTTATCAAAGGAGAAGCTGTCTCCTGTACCTTTGTTTTGATAGCAAGGACACTCCATTGGGCATGGAAGTCCAGTAAAATTACCTAAAATTAGATGTAGAAATATTTAGTTTTGAAAGCATGCATTAACATATCATTTATTAAGTAAAGTGTTTTGCAGAAAAATCACATAGAATTAAATTCAAATTTAGTGATTTGATACTTCAAAGACAAAATATTTATTTAGGAGATGAACATTAGTCCCAATTTATTTTTTTTTTAAATCGATACAGATAACAGTTCCCGACATATACCTTCATTTACATCCTTAAAAGCTTTTCCCTACTGTTTTACACAGGAAAGAAATAATTCTTTTATTATTAACACAGAAAATATAATGCGTTAGTCCAAGTGTCATTATTTTTCGAACCAAAGAATCCAGATTTCATTCCATCTTTTGACCCTGAGCAATCTTCAGACACATGTGAGTAGCAATTTGGAGCCGTCGTGTTGATAAATCTCGAAAAGTCAGTTGGTAGAAAAGAGCAGTTACGCAGAAGAGCACGACAAAGATCTTCTTTAAATATGGAGGAATTTACCTCACTCTTTGACACACTAGCCTGTCATAAAATATTGTTCATAATGGGAGTATATCCAACAAACAAAAATCAACTTCATTTAACACTGAGAATAATACTTTATAATGAAGGGAGAGTTTAATAGGTACCAGATAGAGTTTGGTAAAATTGAGTCCTTTTAGTATGCTCTGAACTTCACAATCTTTGCTCATCAAGACCTTCATCTGAATAGCCAGCTTTTGTCTGTCTGATGCCTGGAACATGACCCCTTGCCACAAAGTTTTCTGTGAATATCAATACAAGTTATGACATACGCAAATTTCAAAGATAGAATTACGATTCTATGTACTGAATTCATATTTACGTTAGCAGCAGCGAAGGCCTCTATGGGCATTTTCTCCACATCTTGGTAAGTGATGCTTGGGTCTGCGGGGTTAGACAGGAAGGCTTTAATGTTTTGTTTCGTAGCATCTGTCAGTCCGGCCCAAGTATCCAAATACTTAGCATAGCGAGAACATGTACCCATTATGGAGGAAGCCATAAACACTACAAGAAGAAGTGGCAGAAATGTCAATTCAAACTAGAAGGTCTCACATTTATGTTATAAATAGTCAATAGGCCCGGAATATTTCTTTGCATGAGATGGAGAAAAACAAATAAATATTAAGTGATGTACGTTATTAAATGTTTATGCAAAACATACACAAAATAAATATGTATCTTACAACACATCATAGCAAAATAGATCAGCTACATTGAATTGGAATGGAATTGAGAATAGCAAAATGCTGACAACCATATTTTCAAAATTTGTTTCTTTACCAGAAAATGTTCATTTTTACTTACATTTGTTTCTTTAACTTAAGTAATATGAACCTTATCTTTATGTAGGTTTCTAAGGAAAAGGAGAACATTCGAAAAATGAAAAAAGTGAAGATAACGAACAGTGATCGATGAAATATATGGAGATAACGAACAGTATTCAAGCTTAAAAGTCCATTATATAACACAAAATAGGAGCAGAGCAAACACGGACCTCCAAACATCAGAGGTGGGATCAGGTGCCATGGAGGAGTGAGCATCCCCTGCCGACCGGTCACACTCGCCGTGTGCTCCTTGTCATGATCGGGAAATAACGGAAAAATCCGTCGACAATTCAGTGTGTAAATAATGGTCTAACAATTAGTATGAAAAACGTCAGTCAGCATTTGACTCAATGATAAATTGTATTTGCTGACAAGGTCATTGTATCGACCATAGAACCTACGAAATGATGACTTTAAACGAGACAGCTGATATTCTTGTTTCATCAACTTATTTGTCAATAATTTACCTCGTTTTAGAAATTGTACATACGTAGAGCATGCTCTTGCGTATCGAATCAACTGAGAGATATATATCCCGTATGCAGGTGATGAAGGTATATTGCTGCATAAGTAAGGGAAGTTGACGATTGAAAAGTTAAAGTCATCACGTTTATCATAAAGCTTGGTTGTTAGATTAGCATTAACGTCTTTTTCAAGTAAAATATCCAAATATGAAACAGATGTGTCAGACTCTGTGGTATCTTTTATCTCAAGTTCACCAGGATATATCGTATCGACATAAGAATGAAAATAGCCATTGTTAATTGACAATACGTCGTCGATATATCTAAATGTCGAGTTGAACGCCACAGCAAGTGTTTTCTTCTTTTCACGTACAAGATTGTGGACAAATTCTGCTTCATATGAATACAAAAAAGGTCTGCTTATAACGGGGCGCAATTGGTACCCATAGAAATTCCAATAGATTGTTGGAAGACCTTGTCTCCAAAAACCACATAGATATTGTCAATCAGAAACTAAAGCATCTTTTTAATGTCAACTTCAGAGTACTTGTGTGTACAATCAGAATGTTTTTTAACAAAATAATTTTGCAAATGACCAATGACAAGGTAAGTATATTAACGAGTTCCATTTTTATTGAAAAAGCAGCTGTCAATGATATCAAAAAGCCTGGACTTTAATTTATCGTGGGGAATGGTTGTGTATAAAGTTGAAAAATCGTAAGTTTTTAAGCTGTTGATTTTGGTAAAATCTTGTGATTTCAAATTTTCCAAAAGTTCCTTGGAATTTTTAAGTATCCACATCTGATTGACAGCTCTTTTCGAATATATTGTTGCACAGTACTCTTGAAGTTTCTCCTTCACCACTGTTAATATCTTAGTGAGGAGTAAAGATAGAGGCTTGGTTGAACATTTACTGGAACCCGCTATGTATCTTTGTTTGTCAGGATTTTTATGAGGTTTTGGAATCCAATATAAATATGGTAATTCGAATTCATTTTGGTTGTTTGGAATATTAAAAATATTAAAAACTGACATATGATTTTGAAGAATTTCTTCCTTAGAAAGGGAACTATGAGTATAAGTTGGATTACCACTTGTACCACGATCTAAAAACAATCTTTAAACGATACAAATCTGTGAACAATGGATTTATTTTCTTCACATATGAAGCTTCTCTTGGCAATCAAAGTTGAAATGATTTTGAAAATAACTACCTTTTAAACACAACGCAGATCTCATTTGAAAAAACGAAGACATTACATTACTTAGTTATAATTAAACTAAACAATTCAAATTTATATTACGTGGGTTGAACCAGCTCCCGCTTCTTTATAAAGAGTTTTTTTTTTATTTTTTAAAGTACAAACCTTACAAGCCAGGTTATACAATATAGAATGGGTACCTATTTCATTCCTTTCTGACCGCAAAAACATACTAGTATCTGGGTATTGAAACACTGTGATGGGCAGGATGGGCAGATGATGGTTTACAACGATGAAACACCATGTCTGTATAATTTATACGTTTCATCTGAGACAAAAGCATGGTTCTTAAGAGGATTAGTCTTTGCCAAAACTGTTTGATAATCCAAGGATTTCAATAAAAGATACATATATATTTATGATAAAATACTACTGTAACGTAAATTTCAAAGCTCGTAAAATACTTGATATATGAATCAAAATACCGGTATTTAAAAAAAAAAAAATACAATGTACATTTTTAATAAAATATATTTAGTTATCTGTTTATGTTTAATACTTATCAATTTTCTATTTCTAAGCAGATTCCCACTTTTAAATTGTTTGAAAACTGTTTTAACAAAATCTTATTTATATGAAATGGAAGTTCAATGTCTGAAATAATATTAATCGAGAAGATCACTTATTCCAAGGTCTATGGAAAAATCTAACAATTATCTATGGAGATAATATCGCATGAAACGTGAAGATAAGCAACAGTAAACAAACTCATAATCCATTGAAACAACGAAAAATGACGCAGAGCTGTGAAATAATACACCACATTACTGATGAATTATTTCCTCATTCTTCATGCATATCAAAGATTTCACTTGCTACTCCTTATGCATTGTATTTCTGCCAAGTTTTTTCTCATTTCTGATATTTACCTCCTGCTTCTGAAGTTTCATTCCTGGCCCTTGATAGTGTGACATTCATATCTATATTAGGACACGGTTGGGGGTTTCCCATTTTATCAAAGGAGAAGCTGTCTCCTGTACCTTTGTTTTGATAGCAAGGACACTCCATTGGGCATGGAAGTCCAGTAAAATTACCTAAAATTAGATGTAGAAATATTTAGTTTTGAAAGCATGCATTAACATATCATTTATTAAGAAAAGTGTTTTGCAGAAAAATCACATAGAATTAAATTCAAATTTAGTGATTTGATACTTCAAAGACAAAATATTTATTTAGGAGAAAAACATTAGTCCCAATTTATTTTTTTTTTTAAATCGATACAGATAACAGTTCCCGACATATACCTTCATTTACATCCTTAAAAGCTTTTTCCCCACTGTTTTACACAGGAAAGAAATAATTCTTTTATTATTAACACAGAAAATATAATGCGTTAGTCCAAGTGTCATTATTTTTCGAACCAAAGAATCCAGATTTCATTCCATCTTTTGACCCTGAGCAATCTTCAGACACATGTGAGTAGCAATTTGGAGCCGTCGTGTTGATAAATCTCGAAAAGTCAGTTGGTAGAAAAGAGCAGTTACGCAGAAGAGCACGACAAAGATCTTCTTTAAATATGGAGGAATTTACCTCACTCTTTGACACACTAGCCTGTCATAAAATATTGTTCATAATGGGAGTATATCCAACAAACAAAAATCAACTTCATTTAACACTGAGAATAATACTTTATAATGAAGGGAGAGTTTAATAGGTACCAGATAGAGTTTGGTAAAATTGAGTCCTTTTAGTATGCTCTGAACTTCACAATCCTTGCTCATCAAGACCTTCATCTGAATAGCCAGCTTTTGTCTGTCTGATGCCTGGAACATGACCCCTTGCCACAAAGTTTTCTGTGAATATCAATACAAGTTATGACATACACCAATTTCAAAGATAGAATTACGATTCTATATGTACTGAATTCATATTTACGTTAGCAGCAGCGAAGGCCTCTATGGGCATTTTCTCCACATCTTGGTAAGTGATGCTTGGGTCTGCGGGGTTAGACAGGAAGGCTTTAATGTTTTGTTTCGTAGCATCTGTCAGTCCGGCCCAAGTATCCAAATACTTAGCATAGCGAGAACATGTACCCATTATGGAGGAAGCCATAAACACTACAAGAAGAAGTGGCAGAAATGTCAATTCAAACTAGAAGGTCTCACATTTATGTTATAAATAGTCAATAGGCCCGGAATATTTCTTTGCATGAGATGGAGAAAAACAAATAAATATTAAGTGATGTACGTTATTAAATGTTTTTGCAAAACATACACAAAATAAATATGTATCTTACAACACATCATAGCAAAATAGATCAGCTACATTGAATTGGAATGGAATTGAGAATAGCAAAATGCTGACAACCATATTTTCAAAATTTGGTTCTTAACCAGAAAATGTTCATTTTTACTTACATTTATTTCCTTAACTTAAGTAATATGAACCTTATCTTTATGTAGGTTTCTAGGGAAAAGGAGAACATTCGAAAAATGAAAAAAGTGAAGATAACGAACAGTGATCGATCTAAAAACAATCTTTAAACGATACAAATCTGTGAACAAAGGATTGATTTTCTTCACATATAAAGCTACTCTTGGCAATCAAAGTTGAAATGATTTTGAAAATAACAACCTTTTAAACACAACGCAGATCTCATTTGAAAAAACGAAGACATTACATTACTTAGTTATAATTAAACTAAACAATTCAAATTTATATTACGTGGGTTGAACCAGCTCCCGCTTCTTTATAAAGAGTTTTTTTTTTTTTAATTTTTTTTAAGTACAAACCTTACAAGCCAGGTTATACAATATAGAATGGGTACCTATTTCATTCCTTTCTGACCGCAAAAAACATACTAGTATCTAGGTATTGAAACACTGTGATGGGCAGGATGGGCAGATGATGGTTTACAACGATGAAACACCATGTCTGTATAATTTATACGTTTCATCTGAGACAAAAGCATGGTTCTTAAGAGGATTAGTCTTTGCCAAAACTGTTTGATAATCCAAGGATTTCAATAAAAGATACATATATTTATGATAAAATACTACTGTAACGTAAATTTCAAAGCTCGTAAAATACTTGATATATGAATCAAAATACCGGTATTTGTTACAAAAAAATCTGCAATGTCCATTTTTTATAAAATATATTTAGTTATCTGTTTATGTTTAATACTTATCAATTTTCTATTTTTAAGCAGATTCCCACTTTTAAATTGTTTGAAAACTGTTTTAACAAAATCTTATTTATATGAAATGGAAGTTCAATGTCTGAAATAATATTAATCGAGAAGATCACTTATTCCAAGGTCTATGGAAAAATCTAACAATTATCTATGGAGATAATATCGCATGAAACGTGAAGATAAGCAACAGTAAACAAACTCATAATCCATTGAAACAACAAAAAATGAAGCAGAGCTGTGAAATAATACGCCACATTACTGATGAATTATTTTCTCATTCTTCATGCATATCAAAGATTTCACTTGCTACTCCTTATGCATTGTATTTCTGCCAAGTTTTTTCTCATTCCTGATATTTACCTCCTGCTTCTGAAGTTTCATTCCTGGCCCTTGATAGTGTGACATTCATATCTATATTAGGACACGGTTGGGGGTTTCCCATTTTATCAAAGGAGAAGCTGTCTCCTGTACCTTTGTTTTGATAGCAAGGACACTCCATTGGACATGGAAGTCCAGTAAAATTACCTAAAATTAGATGTAGAAATATTTAGTTTTGAAAGCATGCATTAGCATATCATTTATTAAGAAAAGTGTTTTGCAGAAAAATCACATAGAATTAAATTCAAATTTAGTGATTTGATACTTCAAAGACAAAATATTTATTTAGGAGAAAAACATTAGTCCCAATTTATTTTTTTTTTGAAATCGATACAGATAACAGTTCTCGACATAAATCTTCATTTACATCCTTAAAAGCTTTTCCCCACTGTTTTACACAGGAAAGAAATAATTCTTTTATTATTAATACAGGAAATATAATACAGCGGTTCAAGTGTCATTATTTTTCGAACCAAAGAATCCAGATTTCATTCCATCTTTTGACCCTGAGCAATCTTCAGACACATGTGAGTAGCAATTTGGAGCCGTCGTGTTGATAAACCTCGAAAAGTCAGTTGGTAGAAAAGAGCAGTTACGCAGAAGAGCACGACAAAGATCTTCTTTAAATATGGAGGAATTTACCTCACTCTTTGACACACTAGCCTGTCATAAAATATTGTTCATAATGGGAGTATATCCAACAAACAAAAATCAACTTCATTTAACACTGAAAATAATACTTTATAATGAAGGGAGAGTTTAATAGGTACCAGATAGAGTTTGGTAAAATTGAGTCCTTTTAGTATGCTCTGAACTTCACAATCTTTGCTCATCAAGACCTTCATCTGAATAGCCAGCTTTTGTCTGTCTGATGCCTGGAACATGACCCCTTGCCACAAAGTTTTCTGTGAATATCAATACAAGTTATGACATACGCAAATTTCAAAGATAGAATTACGATTCTATGTACTGAATTCATATTTACGTTAGCAGCAGCGAAGGCCTCTATGGGCATTTTCTCCACATCTTGGTAAGTGATGCTTGGGTCTGCGGGGTTAGACAGGAAGGCTTTAATGTTTTGTTTCGTAGCATCTGTCAGTCCGGCCCAAGTATCCAAATACTTAGCATAGCGAGAACATGTACCCATTATGGAGGAAGCCGTAAACACTATAAGAAGATGTGTGAGAAATATCATTACAAGCTAGAAAGTCTCCCATTTATGTTAAAAATAACTAATAGGACCGGATTTTTCGTTCCATGATATATAGAAAAAATAAACATTAAGTGATGAATGTTACTGAATGTTTTTTGAATAACATACACAAAATAAATATGTATCTTACACTACAAAAAATTGCTTAAACATGTACCCATTACAGAGGAAGCCGTAAACACTATAAGAAGTGGGAGATATATCAGATATCAATACAAGGTAGAAAATCTCACGTTAGTCGTAACAGCTATCAATTTATAGACCTATCAATATGTCTGCACGTGAGAGAAAGATTTAACATTAGATATAATATAAATAACTTAAAACTGTAATATAAATAAATTAAAACTGCATATCTGTAACAACTTTTAAAGACATAAGAAAGGTTTCGGCAATTACTGGACTATCGGAATGGAAAATGCTTACTAACATTTTTTTCTCAACAAAATACCCTAGTTCTTCAAGTATAGAATGTTCAAATAATAGAGTTGAATTTTCTTTCCAAGTCCAGATTTTAAATGATTTTCGAGTCTTAATTTGATTTTAGAAAGTGATTTATTTTGCTCACAAATACAGGGCTTTCCATCTTGATCAAAGTAAGGATAATTTTCATGATATTATACCATAAAACCGTTACGCATATTCAATAGAAATGATTGATTGATTGATAAATTGATTGTATGTTGTTTTACATCTCGTTCGAGAATTTTCACTCACATATAGACGTCACCATATTCCGGTAAAGGGCTTCAAATTTAGACCTTAACTCGGCACTCAGGGCCATTGAGTCCATAGGAATGATATATTACGAATATGTTAAATGTTAATATATGTTATTCACATATATTGTTTTTAAAAATAAAGCGTAGTTTTTAGTCAAGCTATATATACCTTTGAAACAATGCCTAATGATGGACAGAGCACGATTGAAAAAAAATAATTCCAGAATAATTCAAAGTAGTAGGCTTCATGCAATACAAAATAGAGGCCGATAAGCAGAAACCGTATTAACCTTATACTGAGTATCATTATCGATGTATTCAATTATATATATATTGAAAACCTTTAACATCACGACTCTGCAATGTTTAATATCTCATGTTTTATGTGGAAATGAATAAAAACTTTGTACATGTAGTCATTTTTTAACAATCATAAATCAAAATATTTTCAGCAAAGGTTATATCGAAAATATGATTTTTTGCTTGTGAAACGATTAAAAAAATACTCAATAGATGCTAGAAAATATTCTATGGCTAATTTATTCTTTTGTCTGAAAGTGCTGTACATATTTAATGATTTATTTACGTTTAATATCGACCGGTCCCGGTGGCCTAGTGGTAGGATGCTCGCTTATTGATTGAGAAGCCTGGGTTCGACTCTTGTTCCCGGCACCGCGTCAAGCGTAAAACGTGTATCATAGGTAATGGCTGTTTCTTTGCCATGCGTCCGGTATTACAAGTGAAAATCACGGATCTTTCGGATATGACATTAAAACAGTAAATCCCGTGTTACGCTGGGCGTTGACACGATAAAGATCCCTCACTGCTCTATGGTCCCGAGTAACGAGTATAGACCCCTCATCGATATATGATGGGACGTTAAACAACATACAAACATCTATTATCTATCAGATTTCTATTTCAACAACATATAATTATTCTTAATATGTTCGAAAATTGTTCCTTTTCAAAAAAATTTGATATCTGTAATTCGTTAAATCAAAAGATGAAAATGAGTAGAAAAACATAAAACAAAATATGCTCACTTTACAGTTTGTTAAATACAAATTATTAGTTTGAAGTAATACAATAATATTATGTAATACCTTTCACATTTTTAATATTAAAATTCATTAATGTTTGAATTGTTTCTAATAGAACCAAATATATTATTTCTCAGTTATTTTTCTCATTCCTGCTATTTACCTCCTGCTTCTGAAGTTTCATTCCTGGCCCTTGATAGTGTGACATTCATGTCTATATTAGGACACGGTTGGGGGTTTCCCATTTTATCAAAGGAGAAGCTGTCTCCTGTACCTTTGTTCTGGTAGCAAGGACACTCCATTGGACATGGCAATCCAGTAACGTTACCTTAATTCAGATAAATAGATACTTATTTCTGAAAGTGCACAGACGACAAATTAAGATAACTTTATTGTACCAGGGTCATCGAAGTAACTTTAAATTGAGTGCCATGTACTTCAAAAATAAAATATTCCAAATAAAGAAGAATATTTATTCGGTTAAGTTTTTATTAATCAGTATGAATAAAAATTCTCAGTATAAATCTTCATTATCCTCTTTAATGCTTAACATTCTGCACGACAAGTACCATAATCTTACAAACCGAAAAATCCGAATATCATTCCGTCTTTTGACCCCGAGCAGTCTTCAGACACATGTGAGTAGCAATTTGGAGCCGTCGTGTTAATAAACCTGAGGAGTTCAGTGGGAAGAAAAGAGCAGTTACGCAGAAGGGCTCGACAAAGGTCTTCTTTAAATATGGAGGAATTTACATCACTCTTTGCTGCATTTGCCTGCCATAAAATTGGATTCATGATGGGGGTGTATTCAAAAAACCAAAATTTTCTTCATTTATCAGATAAAAAAAGTACTTTACAGAAAGGGAGAGTTTAATAGATACCAGATAGAGTTTGGTAAAGTTGAGTCCTTTCAGTATGCTCTGAACTTCACAATCCTTGCTCATCAAGACCTTCATCTGAATAGCCAGCTTTTGTCTGTTTGATGCCTGGAACATGACCCCTTGCCACAACGTCTTCTGTGAATATCAATACAAGTTATGTTATACACCAATTTTAAAGATTGAATTGCAGTTTTATATGTATTGAATTAATAATTACGTTAGCAGCAGCGAAGGCCTCTATGGGCATTTTCTCCACATCTTGGTAGGTGATGCTTGGGTCTGTAGGGTTGGAGAGGAAGGTTTTAATCTTTTGTTTCGTAGCATCTGTCAGTGCGGCCCAAGTATCCAGATATTTAGCATAGCGGGAACATGTACCCATTATGGAGGAAGTCATAAACACTATAAGAAGAAATATGAATTCAAGCTAGAAAGGCTCATGGTTGTGGTTACAACTATCAATCACTCCACTTTTTAGTTAAATGAACACCTGCCCATGTCACAAAATAATTCGTCAAAAATCATTAAATAGAAATATAGATGTTTTACATAGCTTGGTGCTGAGATTGTAAGTTTCAGGAGAGACAATGAATATAATGATATGTGTTTCAAAATTCGATAAAATTTTTGGAAAAGTCCAAATCTGCATCCAAAAAAAAACAAAAACAAAAACAAAAAAAAAAAACAAAAAAAAAACAAAAACAAATTAAAGCAAAAAACAGACAAAAAAAACAAACAAAAATGACAAAAAAAAAAGACTGATGGAATAGGTAGAAATTTCAAATGAACATTTAAGAGATAATTTTAAAACAAAAGAACACTCATATGATAAAAACGCTTCATTATAGATAAATAAATAAATTGTCCAGATACTTGGTATTACGGAAACAATTATATACATATATATATAAAACAAAAATATAAACTTTACTCGAAAGTATATTCTACCACAAGACCAAATTTCTAAATTCGAGTAGCCATTCGGAAATCATATGGTATAGCAAAGCACTTCGGAATCCTTAGAAATTAAATATACCAATGCATCACTTCATTTAACACACTGATTTCTAATTAAACGTGTATGATTAGACTTTACTAAAAGTTTTGCAAAGCTATAGTACAAGAGTACTATATACGATATTCATGGATACATGACTAACCAACAAACAGGAAATATAGGTGTACTTATTTTACTATAATTTAAATATATGATAATTTACCTAAATAATCTACATTGTGTACCGGAGGAGAGCATTAAATTAGACTGCATTAAACTTTGCTTCTAATATTTTCTTTTATATTATTTTAAAAGATTTAGAAGAATAACGACTACGTCAAATTGCGAGCTCTTCCGAACATTTATTTCTTACAACTAAGGTGTATTTTCAAATTTAAAAAAAATAATTGAATTTTCTCTTAAATTCCAGATATCTTAAATTTATTTTATTTTATTTTATTTCAATAATTTATTTTTGCTGATATTGCTTTCAAATATTAGATATCTAAAGGTATTGAAAATAACATAAATGGGGATTATATAAAAATGATATTATCAGGATACTTACCTCCTGCCTCCGACGTCTCGTTTCTGGCTCTGGCCAGTGTTACATTGACATCTATCATTGGACATGGTAACGGATTCCCAAACTCATCAAAAGAAAAGCAGTCCTCCGGAGCTTTTTTCTGATAACACGGACAGACATGTGGACAAGGAAGCCCAGTGGTGTTTGCTAAGGTATTAAGAAGACATCTTACATTAAAAAAACTCATTTTATCAAAATAGAAAAAAGTGTATTTAATTGCTATGTGCTTATATTATAAAAAAAAGGTATTTCTACATGAGTTGTTTTCACTTATTACAAATTCTACTAGGCTTGGATCCGAGAAACACTTTAGATTACCTTGCTTGATTTCACTTTCTACTCGACTTGCTATGCCGGGGTTCAGAAGTACTGCATGGTCTGATTTTACTTACTACTCAATGCGCTATGCCGGGGTTCAGAAGTACTGCATGGTCTGATTTTACTTACTACTCAATACGCTATGCCGGGGTTCAGAAGTACTGCATGGTCTGATTTTACTTACTACTAGAGTGCTATGCCGGAGTCCAGAAGTTACTTACGTACGGTAGGTACTGATATTACTTACCTAAAGATTTGCACTATGAAATATAAAGATAACGAACAAAATCAAGCCCGAGAGTCCATTGGAACAATGCACTTTGGAAGCAGGGCAAACAAGATCTATAGTTTTACATTACCCGATTTTAATACCAAATCCACTATATAGGCATCAAAAAGATGCATTTGTAATATATGGTCTGATTTTACTTTCTATTAGATCTGATTTTACTTTCTATTAGATCAGATTTTACTTTCTATTAGATCTGACCAGTCGGCAGGGGATGCTCATTCCTCCATGGCACCTGATCACACCTCTGATGTTTTGGAGGTCCGTGTTTGCTCTGCTCCTATTTTGTATTGTTTAATGGACTTTTGAGCTTGAATACTGTTCGCTATCTCCATTTATTTCATCTGCTAGGAGGTCTCCTGGACATACTTGCACTTTACATGGTGGGATTTTACTTAATACAATATCTGATAGGCTGGGTCCAGGATATACTTAAGCATTTATTTACCTGCTGTGTTGATGCACCAGGCGGGTCCAGATTATACTTAGCATTAATTAGTATTATTTTACTTATTACATTGTGTAATTACCCCGCTAGGAAGAGTTCAGGATATTCTTAAGCATTACAAGGTGTAATTTTACTGACTATAAGATCCACTAGACCAGCTCCAGAATATACTTAAGCCTCGCATGGTGTAGTTTCACTTCAATAAAGATCTATCAGGTGGGGGTCTAAGATATACTTAAGCATGGCTTGGTGTAGTTAAATTACTAATTAGAAGATCCGTTAGGCGGTGGTCTAGGATATACTTAAGCATGATATGGAGTGATGATCCGCTAGGCTGGGTCAAGGATATACTTAAGCATGATATGGTGTGATGATCCGCTAAGTTGGGTCTACGATCTACTAGTATTTAAGCATGACATGGTGTGATGATCCGCTAGGCTAGTGATTTTACTACATGATCCGCTGGACCGAGTACAGGTTAAACTTAATCATAACATGGTGTGATTTTCCTTAATAAATGATCTGCCGGGTCGAGGTTATACTTATTTACTTACTACATGATCCGCTAGGCCGGGGTCCTGGAGTTTGCTGTGTTGTTACTATGACCAATACAGCCAAAACTGTTAAATAAATCAATCATATATATAAATTATAATATTTGTTTTTAAGATGTCCGTTCAAAATATATATTTTAAAGAAGGTCCCGAGGAAGACTAGTGCTTTGCACTAATCGGGTTACCTTCTATAAATAAATAATTATTATCAATACTAGTAGTAGTATCATTAGTATTAACTATACAATTAAAAGTGATGTTAATGTATGTTAATTAATAGAAAACGACTCTCTCTCTCTCTCTCTCTCTCTCTCTCTCAATCGTAGATCGAAAATAACAAGGTGTTATACATATATTTGTAACCGAAAGACGTCAAATTGGTGAAATTCATGAACGAACATACATGAAACTCTGAAAAAAAAACCCCTTAAAATCTAATGATACCGAGATTTCTGTTTTTAATTGTATCATTTGAAATTCAATCAACTGGGTGTTGTCCACGATTCCTTCCTGCTTTCCTTATGGAAGGCGAATTTTTTTTTTTTTTTTTTTTTTTTTTTTTTTTTTTTTTTTTTTTTTTTGAAAAAAAAAAAATTATTTTGTTACAACTAGTGTCCGAGCTCAGCAGTATTTTGAAATGCTTTTACTGCATAAAACAGGGTATTCGAGATAGAATCCTGACGATAAATAAATAAACGATAAAATTATTTTCTTATTTGTTTTTATTTATGAGATACCTAAATGCAGAAGATTAAGAATTGTATACCTACAGAATTGACGTCTGTAATAAGGAATGGTATCCCGATTGCTTTTTTATGTCTTACTAAGTATTCTTTTGCGTTTAAAAAAAGAGGTTTTGAAAATTTTTATAGGATTCAGTTGATACAAGACACTTATGATACCTCGACCCTAGGCAGACATATTGATCAAAGAGATAAAGAACAATAACAAAGAAGGAATGAATTAGAATCTTCAGAAACCTATTTACAGAAAGATGTTTGTGAATTACAATGTTTTTCAAAGAGAAAACCTGACTTCAAATATACTGATATAATGTTATTTAAAAAAAATCAATTTAAATATGTATTTAATCCATTTTTAGTTCATGACAATTTTATAACGTGTGATGACTTTCTCTCAATTTTTATGAAGTTTAAGGGGATAGAAAATAGGGGAATAATAAGTGGAGATTTGAGATCGGGATTACAAATTATTCATTTTATTGAAAAAAATATTACAACTGGTATCCATATAAAAATAATTAACTTAATTCCATCTAGATTCAAAATATAGCATTCTAAATTGATTTACAAAATCTCTAAAACTGAATAATGGAATAGAGAAGAGATTTAACTCAAAGATTTACTTAAACAGGACATTTTTTTCCAGAGATACTGTTGACTTACGATTGGAGTATTTTTACTAAAATCGTATTTTTGTTGGATGTACTTCTCAATGATTATACGTCTCTAAGAACATTTCAAAATACAAGCTGAACAAAAGAAAATGCATTTTACTCAGTTTTAGATGATCTTCAAAGATCAGGGCATACAATGTGATACCAAATACATGAACGTGGCCTTATTGTAGAGCCAAATGTTTATTTTCAGAAATATTATCCCGAGCTATTGTGTAAATTCAATGACATGTGAACAAAAGAAATAATTATCCTATTTTAAACCTTGAACTAGTTAGTGACCTACATATAGCGAACACTCAATCTGACAACGGGTGATCAATGAATTCCAGAATTGCACAATTTACCTGCTAATCAATCGAACATGAAATCTTTCTTTAAATTTATTTTTCAAAAGCAAAGTTAAAGTCAGTTGTATTCAAGATAATCATGAATTGCAAATAGGATTATTTAGATATCACTATTGATATATCAAAGTACTTTTATATCAATTTTTGCCTTACAAAAATACATTTACATAAATGATATATTAAGCCTGGTGCCATGGATGCATCGTAAATATTTCTGATAATTATGTTGGGGATGGTTTTGCAATGATGCAATAACCGGTTGGGAGAACATAGGCATTTTCATATATTGTATGACTGCACGTGGTAAATGAATGATCAAATAAAATTTTGAAAAGGTACATAAGCTTTAACATGCTTAGTAAGCATATAATATTTATTACTTACAAAAAATGTATATCCTTTTATCTCATAAAAAATGTATATCCCTTTATTTATGCAAAAAAAAGTTAAAATGAATATTATTAGTTGAATTAATTATTTGCATAGCTAATAATTTACTATTTAGTGTTTTGCAAACATATTTCGGACCACAGGTTAGGATTTTACAGATATAATGCAAAAAAGAAGTTATTGATTGAAAAAATATATATATGTAAAATATTATGAACTATGATATTAATTGTAAGTTAAACTTCGAGTATAAATCACTGAAAATTGATTTCTTGATTGTAAGCTTAATTATGTTCCCCAAACGAAGTTTGGGAACATATTGTTTTTACTCTGTTTCTTATTATTATTATTATTAAGGTCTTCCGTCTCCAACGGAAGACCTTATTGTTTTCGTTCGGTTTCTTTTTCCCTATTATTAGGGTCTTCCGAGCTTCCTTCGGAAGACCCTACTGTTATTCTACTGTTTCTTATTAGGGTCTTCCGAGCTTCCTTCGGAAGACCCTACTGTTATTCTACTGTTTCTTATTATTATTTTTTTTTTTTTTCCCGCCGATTTTCAGCAGGCGATTTCTCGGAGACCTTTTGTCCGATTGCTATGAAACTTTCAGGGTAGATACAATGTATTATTGCCTAAAAATGGTTTTTTCAAATTTTTGATATATACCTCCGTTCATGAGTTATTGCCCTTTAATCGATATTTGGAGGGTCTCTTGTCCAGTAGAAATATCAATAACGACACATGATATTTGCATGAAAATTGGAGAACTTGTAACTAATACATTGCAGATGCGCAGAACATTAAAATTGTAGGCTATTTTTTTTAAGTTCGGAAGCTATGTGACGGCAAGTTTTAAGAATTATTTTTCCATGAAATTTTGCTGCTTTTTGTTTAATAACTTTTAAACTGATAAAAATTTGGTAAGACATATAGAATAAAAGTTGTGTGTAATTACGAGAGCTTTCAGATAACATCAAGAAAAAGGGGCTGGCCCCTATATTCAGGGGACAGCAGGTCATAAAAGTATTTTTTGGATAGCTAAAAATATTAAAATATTATGAAAAAGTTTGAATGACAGAATTTCTAACATATTAAATCTTGTCATGTGGTATAGAGAGAAACAAGCTCCGTGCTATATTTTATTCTATTTTATAAAATAATTATTCGAGAATCGTACAGGAACAAGTTGTCTACAAACCAGCCACGCCTTATAGGGCATCGTAACACATGCTTGTACGGTTTTAGATAGTTGTTGTGTTTTAAATAAATTGTTTTGATTCCATTTCTCTGTTTTCTATTATTTAAATCGTTTATAAATGCAAGTTATTTACACAAGTAATGGTAAATCAACATTTACTAATGCATTCGTATAGAAAAAGTCTTAATCGGGGCCTGTTGTTTGTAACCTGGATGTAAACAATCACGAGCGGCATTGTGGGAAGAAGACACTAAAGACCCGATATACGAAAAACGTGATTTGATCTGATGCTTTGTTGGCAAATATTTAAAAAAAGTGTAGTTTAGTATAGCATAATGCTTCATAATCAATAATTTTTAAAAATAAATCATGTATAACACTCAATCTGATTATTTTATTTTTTGAAAAATCATCAGGTCGAATATCAGGTCTTTAGTATATCAAGTCTTTAGTACGTCCCCGGAAGTAGCCATGCAAGTCGGAATTACAGACAGAAAATGAGAAGAAAATATGTTAAGTTGACAGTTGTACATTTTCTTAACGTACGAGCCGTATGTAGACATGCACATTTAATCCACATCTACGAAGCACATAAATCCTTGGTTGCGTACAGGGAGCATTAGTTTTAAAGGGATATATATATTCTTGCGCAAATTGTTTACGAGGAAATTCTGACGATCACATTAACAGCGATGAACAGTCTTGTGTCGGAGTTTTCTGTGATAAATGTAGCGAGTGATGAAAGAGTTCACCATGACATTTTAATATATGATTGGCGTGGACCTTAGAAATGAAGGTTAGAATTTTTCTTATCTAAAATTTAACAGCTGCTTACAGCACTGATGTTTACATGTATATGCCAGCAAATGTATAAATGTACGCACAAACACTGATGTATGTTATCTATTTAATGGTTCAGTCTCTGTCTGTTAGCCCTGACATGACATTGTCAAATCCCCATTGCTTTAACTTATATTTAAATGCATGAGAGCATGTAATTTCACCAAGACTTTTTTTTTATTGAAACAAAAAAATGCAAGAATTCAACAATACACTATCTAACATACTGCATGTATAACCATGATAATTATTGTTATATATTCTTCAACAAGTATGAATAGCAGTTATAACTAGGGCCTTAATTAATATTATAATTTGTTATACCTTTAAAAATTTGTTTCTATATAAATCTATACCAGTGTACACATAAAATGTCTAACATTTCTAACGTTTTATGAGCAATCATAAAAAAATCTATGTTGAACCGCAAAGTGAGATATTGAACCTGTCGATGAGATCATTGGACTGCTTACATATTACAGTATCCGCGGGATTAGTTAAATCTCATTTGCATTCGTTGGTGTTCGAAAGTTACGGAATTGACAGAGTTTTACCTCAGTGCTGGTAAAGGAAATTTACATCACGGAAGCCAGTACAAAATATATGTATGCATATGTCAAGCAAGAAAAGAAAATAAAAGATATAACAAAACATTTATTAGGGCGTGTTCTCGGGGTAATATGCAATTTGCTGACCCCTTGAACCAAACTGTTTCCCTTCGGCCTAATGGCCTCAGGCAAACAGTTTGGTTCTTGTGTCCGACAAAACACATGTTGCCCTCGAACCCAGTTAGTAAATGTGTATTATTATTGGAAAATCTCAAAAATGTCACTCAGTTAAATTGCAAAAGAAATTTGGAAATATATTTATACA